CCAGCAGTGCTTTCCAGCAAGCAGCCTCAAGGAGAGGTCACTCCTTAACGTGGATAGGTTGCCGGGGACCTGCCAGTTTGTTTTTGGGGCCCCAGATAGTCCCTGTGCCCTTTGCCAGGCTCAGCCAGCTGGAGTCCAGGACTGTGCCAAGTCCTCCCAGGACAGGCCGGAGCTCTTCCCTGCATTCTCCGGAACCTTGCCTCCAGGCTGGTGGGATTTTACCAGCATCTCTCTACCTCCTGTGGTTGCCCAGGCTGAATGCAGCTGAGACCTGGAGGGCTCAAAATACCTGGAGATCTCTTCAGTACTTTCAGCTGCAGGCTGCTGTTTTCTCTAACCCTTCCATATTGCTATGCACTCAGAGTGTTCTTAGTTGCTTCTTGCTGTTAGTTCCGTGATGTTTGACTCTGAGTTCTCTGGGCTCCCAGGAGCAGCATCATGACGATGGAAATGTTCTCCATCTGTGTCAGTCACCATAGTAGCCACAAACCAGTGGCCTTTGGGTACTTACAATGTGGCTAATGTAAGCAGGGGACTGCATTTTAGATTTTATTTTAGTCAGTTAGATATAGAGAGCTGTATGTGGTTAGTAGCTTCCGTACTAGATGGACGGATCAGGTTGGAGATCTCTATGGAGGCGGGAGACCTGAATGAGGCAGAAGGACTACACTGGGTGCAGAAAGGGACATCTAGTGTGCCTTTTGGGTGAGAAATGGGAAAGGATCAATTCCAGGGTCCAGAGCAGGAAGGACCTTAGGGAGAGCTTTAGAGCACTGAAGATACATCCACAGGGCAAGGAGAGCACACAGATGCTCCACGTGGAGAAGAGCGGGCACAGGAGTGTGAGGCATCCTTCGACTGCAGCAGGCTCTGTGAGGCGGACCACCAGTGGGGAATGGGAATGGAAGGGAGGCACTGGACTGCAGGCCCGAGGAGGGCTTCCTCGTTCTGCTGGGTTACCGAAGGACCATCGGACACCAGGCCGGCATGGATCGGGGGAAGCTCTCAGTTCATAGCCGCAGTTACTGGCCTGCAGAGGAGTTGGAGGAGGTTGTGTGTTTGTTTGCTTTCTGTATCTGCTTTGTAAAATGACTTTCTAATTTTGAGGTCATTGAGATTGGTGTGCAGTTGTGAGGAATAATACAGAGACCCCTTGCTCACAGCCAGGACAAAAGCACTCATACAGCCAAGATGCAGAGCAAGGCCACGGGGTCTCTCATGTTGCCCTTTTGTAGCCAGGCTGCTTGTCTCCTCCTCGCATCCTCTGCACCCCGGCAGAGGATTAACCTATTGTGCATTTTTGTGTCTTTGTCATTTCAAGAATGTTACACAAGTGAATTTGATATAATGCTCTCGAGATTTATCTGTGTTGTTTCACATACTGATAGTTTGTTTCAGCCAGGCACAGCGGCACACGCCTGTATCCTCAGCTACTTGGGAGACTGAGGCAGGAGGATCATAAGTTTGAGACCAATCTAGGCAACCTCATGAGACTCTGTCTCAAAGAAAAAAATTTGTCCTTTTTAACTGACAAGTATTGTTCCATGGTAAGGACATACCTAGAAGGACACTCCTCTTATTCAAGGACATCTGGGTTGCCTCCACGTGTGCCTAGTAAAAATAAAGCAGCTATAAACAAACATTTTTATTTCTCTAAGATAGAAACCCAAGTCTGCTAAATCGTAGGGTAGCTATACAATTATATTTTAAAGAAATTGCCCAACTACTGTCCCCGGTGACTGTGCCACCAGTAATATATAAGTGAGCCAGGTTCTGTTTCCTTACTAGTACGAGGGGTGGTCCCTGTCTTTATTTGAGCCGGTTTGCATTTTGAAAATAGTTAATGATGAGCATCTTGCTGTGATTATTTGCCACATACTCTCTTCAGTGAAATGTCTGTTCAGATCTTTTCCCTACTTTTCACTGGATTTTGTTTCCTATTGGGTTTTAAAGAAATCTATACACTAACAAGCCATCCTTTTAAAGGATATGATTTTGGGGTTTTCATATTGTTGCAAAGCTGTGCAGACATCATTGTGTAATCCTACAAAACAAAACTCCATTCCCATTAACTCTCATTCCTCTCTCCTCTCTCCCCTCTCCCCTAGCCCCTGATGACTTCTAAGTGCTCTTCTAGCTTTATGCCTTTAACTCTTCTGGGCATTTCATAGAAATGGAATTACACAGTGTGTTTTCCTTGTTTTGGGACTCTTTTGTTCATGTTTTTGCATGTGTCAGTACTCCGTTCCTTTTTTATGACTGTATAATACCCCAGTAGTGCATGAATCTACCTTTTATTTATCCATTCATCAGTGGATATTTGCATTGTTTGTACTTGTAGCTATTATGAGAATTCATGTATAAATTTTTGTGTGGACATATGTTTTCATTTTTTTTTCCATACAGAGTACTTTCCTGGGTAATATAGCCCCTCAAATTTTACCTTTTGGGGAACTACAATATTGCAATGCTGCTGTACCATTTTGTATTTCTACTAGCAGTGTGTGAGTTCCACTTTCTTCATTACCCCATCATTTCTTTTTGCCTTTTTTATCCTAACCATAGTTTTCTTAGGTGGAATTTCATCTTCTTTAGAGAAATGTCTATTCAAAGCCTGTGCACACTTTCAATTAAATTAAGATTTTCACTGTTGAGTTCTAATAGTCCTGTATGAATTCTGGGTAGTATCTCTTACAAGATATATGATTTATAATTTTTCTACATCCTGTTTATTGTCTTTTCACTTTCTTTAGAATGTTCTTTGAAGCAAAAAAATTTTAAATTTTGACAATGTTCACTTTATCTATTTTTTATTTGTGCTTTATCTGTCATGCTTAAAAAAAAAGTACTGCCAAGATCACAAATATTTACATCTGTGCTTTTCTTCTAAGAGTTTTATACGTTTAATCTTTACATTTAGGCCTTTGATCCATTTTGAGTTAATTTTTATATATGGTGAGAGTTAAGAGTCAAACTCATTTTTTATATGTGTCTTGACACTACTTTTTGAAAGACTACTCCTAGTTGTTTTGGTGTCCTTTATGAAAAGCAATCTTTATGGATGTGTGGACTTATTTCTGGACTAATCCGCATATTTATCTCATGCCAGTACCTCAAAGCTTTTTTCCTAAACCTCTTTTTTTGTTCTTGTTGTGTACCAAGGATCTAACTTATAACCTTACACTTGCAAGGCAGGCGCTTATGCTACTGAGCTAAATCCTCAGCCCCCTCAAAGTTTTAATTACTGTAGTTTTGTAGTAATTTTGAAATCGGGGAGTGCAAGTTTTCCAACTTTGTTCCCTCTTTTCACAACTGTGTTGGTTATTTTGGGTCTCTTGCATTTTTATGTGAATTTTAAGATCAGCTCGTCCATTTCTGCAAAAAAGAAAGCTGGAATTTCATAAAGATTACACCAGCTCCATGGATCAATTCGATTATCTGTTTGTTTATTTAACAGGGATAAACTCAGGGCTTCTCAATAAGCTTTTTTATTTTTTATTTTGAGGCAGGGTTCTCCTGAGTTGTTCAGGCTGGGCTTAAGCTTTTTATCTTTCTCTGTCACCCACCAAAGGTGTTGGTATTACAGGCATGTACCCTGGGCTCCTTACTTCTTTTGTCAAATGTACTAAGTATTTTACTCTTTTTTCACATTATTATAAATGGAATTAATCATTCTTAGATTGCTTATTCCTACCATATAAAAATACAACTGATTTTTCTATTTCATTCTCGTATCTTGCCATGTTGTGGAACACATTTGTTAGCACTAATTGTTCTATTGTGAGTGTGTAGTCCTTAAGGTTTTCTAGATACAAAATTATATCATCTACAAATATTTATTTTTTCAAACTATATGCCTTTGTTTTCCTTTTTCTTGCTTAATTGTCCTGGCTAGCACTTTAGAACAATGTTAGGGAAACCAAACATCCTGCCTTGTTTTTAAATTTAGGATGAAATCTTTCAGTCTTCAGGCATGAAGTGTAATGCTAAGTTTCTATGTCTTTTAATACTCACTTAAGATTGTTTATTTTTAAATTATTTTATTATACATGGTAACAGAAAGTCCAAACAATAAGATATAAAGAAACAAAACTCCAAATTCTGCCACCATCAATATACTTTAAACTTTTTTCTTTTTTTCCAAACTTTTTGTATGCATCATATAGGTATGTGTAAAACACAAGTAACTTTAAAAATTAAACAATTTTTTTTCATTCCATATTGACACCATCTTTCCATTCATGTGACCAAGGATTTATATCATCATTTTACAGCTGCTCAAAGTCTACTGTAAGACTGATCATTTGATTTCCTCCTGATAAATGTTTATTTCCCTTTCCCTCCAACTATGATGAGCACTCTCATCACGCCCTTCCCAAAACTATGTATTGTGAGGTCTTTCTGGGTTTTTTGGTTGGTTTTCTTTGTCAAACAATCACTATAGATTTTAGGAACTAATACAATCAGAATGAGACTTAGGAAGCAAATTCCAGCATTCTGAACTTGCTCTGTAGTCTTGGGCAAATCCTGTTCCTTCTCTGGGCCTGAAATTCTTCAGTCTTAGAGTGAAGAGATTTGTCTAAATTCCTGATTTTCAGACAGAGTTGCATATTGGAGTCACCTGAGATTTTTAAAACACAGCTCCCGGAGTCCCCCAGCCCTATCCTGGTTCAGTTACTAAGGGATATATAAGCTGGACAAGAGGTTCTGAAATTCTGTTGGGGACCAGGTGATCTGCAGGTGCTCCTCGCTTAAACATTCTTCAGAAGAGGAGCTGTGTCTTGCTTGGCCACATCCTCAAAGAGGCTGCTGTGGAGCAAACCTTGGCTTGCTTTGCTCCCGGCTGTGTGAGGCTTCTTTGCACACCTGTTCTTTTGCTCCTAGAAGAGTGTCTAAAATCCCCACCTACTCCTTAGGGCCTCCACCTGCAAAGGTATGGTATACATGGAATGTGTGGTGACAACTGTCGTTTTTGTTTTTGTTTTTCTTTTGGTCTAAAGAGCCAGCCCCTGGGCAACAAAGTAGAGATGGAGATCGTGAGCATGTTGGAGAAAAACGCAACCCTTCTCAAGTTTGGCTACCACTTTACCCAGCAGGGACCCCGACTGAGAGCATCCAATGCCATGATGAATAACAATGACCTTGGTGAGTGGACACCTGCTTTCTGCCCTGGGCACCTGCCCGGCCTTCTCTCCACCTGCACTGGGCCTGTCAGCGAAAATCCCTTCCTGCTGTCTGACAGAGTCTTCTCGAGTAAACTCCTGAGCCTGTCTTCCTGGTTTCTTTACTTACTCCTTGTCTCCTCCCCTGGACCGTAAGTCCCCGACTTCAGAGATAGAGCTCACTGCTGCTCCTCGGCAGCACAGGCTGGGCCCTGAGAGCACATCAAAGTGCCAGCCAAAGGAGATAAAACCCGGAAGGCACAGCTCACCCTGGGTCTTTTCCTCTCCTGAATCACCTTCTCTGGGCTTCTGGAGTCTGCTCCAGGTCACACTGCCTGGCTTTCACCCAAGTCCCAGCGCTACCAACCAACATGACCTTCAAAACCCTGAGCCTAGGAGACTTCACGTTGTTTCTAAGGAAAGTTGAAAGTGGCAATTTCGTGTAAAGTAAAAGCAGACTACTCACTACGCTTTTCTAAAAAAAGAAAATGACGGTATTTTTTGATGAGGAGACATCAAGTAGATGCTCAAGTTAATGGAATGAAAAGCACAATCACTCACTTTTAGAGGCCAATTGTTCTCAAGCTCTGTGCAAAGCTATTATATATGTTAAAAGGAACCTGATGTGTATAATCAAGGGAGTATGATTGATAAGGATACAGAAAAAAAATCCAGACAATAGGCCTATGGTATTTACATGATTGATTGGTGTATTTAAGTTTCCTTAGTTTCCTAGAACCACATCAGGAACAAGACAAACCTAGTTACATTATTCTTATTACAGAAAAGAGGGACGTATGACTTAAACAAGAAAAGCTTCTTTCTTGATTAGATTTCAAAATAATGTTTTAAAGGACGATGTCTTCAGTGAGTTTCTTCAGATTCTCACCTGCTCCACATGCAGCTCTTTCTAGTTTTCAGTCCTCACTAAAATGCAGAGATCCCAGGCCTAATTCACAGTGCAGGTGTGTGGTCCGCAGTAAGTATCTGAGTTAGGATGAGTGCATGGTGCCGACACACAGGGCTGGTACGCACAGACCCTGTATGCATAGATAGCTGCTGAGCTCACACCCACTCACACTCACACTTTAGAGTGAGTTACTTCCTTTGTGGCTCTGGTGCTGAAGATGAAGATTCTTGCTTTTAAGCAAATTGGAGCCCAGGGACATTTATTCATTGCTCACTTCATTTTTTTCCCCTAAAGCCTCAAGTCTGGAAAAACTCATTTAAAAGCTGGCATTTTGGTTTATCTGAGATGTCCTTATTTGAAATAAAATAAGAACAAACACAAAAAACTAAGAATCATAATTACTATTGTTATGTCACAGAGGTGATAGCTAACAGAACCATTTAAGAGGCCAGCAACCAAAATGCTGAGACTAAACCCTGAGTCTTATTCTAACAGCATAATTTCATATTTTCCCCCCAACTGTAGATTAAACTTCTTACGCTCCCCTTGTGGCCTATCTCTGGGATAACTCAGTTGCGTGTTCCCTGGCATGATGGTCTGGAGGTCTTTTTTTTCTCCCTGGGACAAAGGCTCCAGATGATTAGAGGTCAGGGCTGTGGTACGGGATACCAGAATCATCTAGGGGCTGGACTAAAGGTCTCTGAGGACATTCTCAGCCCTGAGAATCTGAGATTCCAAAACTCAGGCTTGACTTCCGGCACAAGGTCTCTCAGGGGCCACCTTGGAGCCTAGAGTGCCAGAGTCGAAGGGACTTATGGCTCGGCCCCCAATTCCCTTCTCAAGAAACTGAAGCCGGGGTTGAGCTGAGGGTGGATGGAGGCCATGGCTCAACCAGGTCACATTACTTGTCAGTTACAGCAGTTTTTCTGAGTAACATTGGTGTGGCCAGCACTATGCCCAGTGACACAGAGGTAGCAGAAAGGCCAGCTCTCGGACTCAAGAAGCTTTACAACCTTGTGGGGGAAAGAGACTCAAACGCATGCCTAAAAACTCAAAAGTGCCTGCATACTGTCCAAATAGCGAGGCACTGACTTATGAGGCTGGAGCCAGTTAGGCAAAGTGCCTTGGTGGGTGGGTGCTAGCCAGCCTTGAATGGAACAGACTAATAGAAGATCAAAAGGAGCACCTACGGGGGCCTCAAGGAAGTGACAAGGGCACTCCAGGTACAAAGGCAAGGTGGCTGGACCCAGTCAACCCGATGGCAGGACAGGAAGATCAAAAGGATTGGGAGAAATTGTTAAAAGGAGCTCAACCTGGAAGAAAAACTGGGCCTTCCCAAAGCAGGAAGGGAAGAGCATTGCAACAGAGGGAATGGCATGACCAAACTTGGGTGTTCACAGGACTGTGGCTGGGTGCTTGTGAAGGAAGCACCTCAAAGCCTTTAGCCCCAAATTCAGGATCTGAGCAATGAAAGTAGGTGGAAAATGAAAACCATGGCAGTTTCCTGGACAGCAGGACCAGAGCCACCACAAGGCCTGCGCTTTCCCTGCCTGGGACCCAGCCCTACTGGTTCATCTTTGTTCCTTCTGCCCCCATGCACTGAGCTCTTTACAGATATGCGAGTGCAGGATGCTGTAGGTGTCGGGGAGGAGCCCATCTGTAGCTCCCATCTACATTTTCCCACATGGTGTCTCAGATGACTGTGACCTGCTCACTATTTACCGCAAAGACCAGGCAACTATCACTCGTTGGTCCTTTAAACTTGTCACCAGAGCCCTCTCCACTGACAGTATGAACTGCAGCCTCCAAGTTAAGACGGTAGGGAGGGATGCAGAGAAGCGTGGAGCAGCAGTAACACATTTAAAGCAAAGACCAGCCCTTTGCAGGAAAGTTGCTCTTTTACTGTATTCTCCTAAAAGACTCATCTAACAGGCACCGCAAACACAGCTCTTTAATTTTATTATAAGTAGACAATTTATACATATATATATATGTATACTGATGTGATGATTTATGTAAACAATGTGGAATTAAATCAAGCCAGCTGACATATCACTTCAAATACTTACCATTTTGGTGATAAGAACATTTGAAAGTTACTTTCTTAGCAATTTTGAAAACAAATCCATCATACTATGCAATAGGTCTCAAAAGAATTCCTGTTGTGTGAGGCCTTGTGCCCCTTGGCCTTCACCTCCTGTCCCTCGCCCACCCTCCAGCCTGTCACCACCGTTCGGTCTCTACGAGCTCCATGTTATGTTGGAACACATGGCTTTAATCTCTCTGTGCCTGGTTTATGTGCTCTAGCTCCACCTCTGTTGTGGCAAATGGTGAAATTTCCATCTTTTTAAAGGCCAAATTGTACAATGTATATAGCCTGCGTCTTCTTTACCCATGTATTTGTTGATGGACCTATGTATTTGTAAGTGTCCATCAACAACGTGTCTTAGCACCTAGGAATACTAAGTGCTACAATGGATACATGGTGCAGACGTCTGTTCAGCAAAGCCGGTGAACACCCAGAAATGGGGGGCCTGATCCCAAATCAGTTTTTTCATCTCTCTCCCAAACCATTTTGGGAAAGGCTGCTACTTTCCCTGTCTTAGTTACTTTTTACTCGTTGCCAAGACAAAATACCTGAAGCCCAAGTTGGGAAAGGAAAGATTTATTTCTTACAGTTTTTGGAGGTTTCAGTCCACACTCAGTTGGCTCCAAGGCAGGCGGGCATGGCGGGGCTGCAATTCATGGCGGCTGCAAATAGCAAGCAGGCACCAGCAAAGAGCAAGACACACCTTCCTGCCATTACATTACATCCTGGCTCCACCCCTATGTGGGTGTAGCACTGACGCCATCAATCCAAGCACTAGACAATGAACCATCACATGCACATCAAATGCACAATGCAAACTCATGAGGCCTGGGGCCACAGACATAAACCATGACATTCCCCATAGCCACTCAAGCCAGACTTCTGGGCTCTCCCTGGACACTGACCCCACTCCTGCTAGCCAGACACCTTGCTGAACCCAACTCTGCCTCAGGGGAAGCCCATCACCTTCCCCCGGCTTCTGGCAACTTCCCCAGGCCTCCAAGGCCTTGCAGCAGCACTCAGCCCAGAGCGAGGCTTGCCGCTCCCCTCTTGGCTCCTGGTCCTCTCAGGTTGAACTCTTCCACTTGGTTCCCTCATCCCCTAAGTCACATGGCACTCGGTGAGTCAGGTGCTCTTCTACTGCACACACCACATTATAAAAGGGTCCCATCCAGAGGTCTTCACTTGCTGAGTCCTGCCAGACTCGTGTTATGCCATCCAGACAAGCTAGCACCACCCATTCCAGGTCCCCTATGGGCCCCCAAGGAACCCAGCAGCAAGTTTACCTTCGTTACTCTGAATGTCCCACTTTCCCATCCTCTACCCTTGAATTCTTCACACTTCAGCTGACTGCCTATCCTGGGAAGATCTGACAACTTCATTCATGCGCCTCTCACACCTCACAGGGACCTGCCAGGTACCTGTGGTTATCTTATCAAGGTTACCGTTTGCAAAAGTTGGCCCCCTTATGCTTAATCTTCCTGATTCCTGCATTTGACATATAGGAACAACTCAAAACATGCTACTGAATTGTCTAAGTGAATGCAGTGCTTCACAAAGACATGATTGACAATCCAACTGGCCAGAAGAGGTGGGAAGTTCAGAGGAAGGTAGGTCCAGGCGACTTGTGATGCTCTTCTAGTTCTGAGTCACCAAGTTTCTAGCTGTTTAGATGCACAAGTTAAGTTTACAAAGAAACAGGCAGATTGAACTGGAAGATACTGGGAGATGGGCTTCCACTCCCATTTGTCACTTGACAAGTTGCTTTCCTCTCCTGGCGTCCCAGTATATGGGAAAACATGAGTACCCTCCCTCCTCCACTTTCTAGTCTCTGTAGAAGCCAGTGTACCCACCTGGGTACACAGTGAAGGCAAACAGTGGAGAAGGCTTATGGCTCCCCGCTGCACCCCAGCCATGGGCAGGGGGGACTCTGGCTTCAGTCTTGGCTCTGCTGATGGTTGTCAGGGTCTGTGGCTCCTTTCCTTCTCCAGAAGGAAGCTGATTTTCTGTGAGTCAGATGAGACAGGGAGCTATGAATCCTATGGATGAGGCCCAAGTGTAGAGGGAGATGTGTGGGCTGAGGCTTGAGCCACAAGCTGGTACTAGTTTTACTGCTTTAAGCTAGAAGCCCACCCTTTCCCTTAATCATTTATAAAACAGGAATGTTGACATGCACATTTCAGAATTGCTAGAAGGGATCCAATGAGGCACACAGCATGGAGGAGGTTGCACTTTCCTGACAGCCACATTTGCACAGCAAACCTAGGGACACTCAACAGCTGGCTTATGGAAGCTCTCTGCTCACTTAGGGCAAATCCTTCTGCAATCTGGGTTTCGTTCTCCCATGTCTACTCCCAAGCCGGTTACCACCTTGAGGAATCAGGCTGGCCAGTGTCTTCCCACCAAGACTGGCCACCATGATTTGCACTTGTTATTCTTTTTGGGGGGAAGGGCAGTGAGCAAGGTCACAGGCTGATACCTGGCATAACTGTGTGCTTCTGAGAACTTCCTCACAGCTCCCAGCTCCAACTCAGCAAGCACACTCTCTTGGGGGTCTGTTTATATTCTTAGGGGGTCATGCACCAGCCCATTTGGTTCTTGCTGCAGCTTCTGTGCATCATCAGCTGGTAACTCCAGGTATTGTCTCAGCTAGGGAACTCAAGGCATCTAATAGACTTTCTCCCTTACTACCAATAGCTTCTAATCTGCCATACCAGCAGGCCCTATCACCTTCCTCTACAGATTTTCTTGGCCTTTCTCTTATGGTTGATCTAACTTGCTAGTTGGTCTTCACTTGGTAATGCTACTTCATTTCAATATCCTCCCTGTTACAACGAAAGAACCCCCAGCCCCTGGACAAGCTTTCTGGAGCTCCTGTGCTAAGTGGTGGTTCTTGGTGTCCAGGACACTGACTGATATCTCTTCTCCATTCTTTTCCAGTGCGGAAGAGGAGGCTTGCAGACTTGACGGGGCCCATCATTCCCAAATGCCGCAGCGGTGTCTAGTGTGCAGAGGTGAAGACCATGCCTTTGAACTGGACATGTTCTACTGACCATCTGTGCTGTGCAGTGGAGACTGAGGCCAAATGCTGGCACAAATCTTTTGTGGTTCAGTTCTTATGCACTAAGGTTTTAGGTTAAATAGTGGTTGTAGTTGAAAATTTTATAAAATATGGGTAATGTGAAGTTTTTCTTTAGTCACAGAAGTTCAGTATGGTTATTATTGAAAAACAAAGAAGCCCTTGAACTGGCAGACTTTCCTACAGATAAAGTGATGGTGGCTGTGACTTAACCCCAGGAGCCCTAAATGGTGGCCTTGCCGTGCCATGTTTCAAGTGATTTATAACACAGTGTGGCTCACACAAACAAACACACACTCTTTGACTAGTTTTGGAAGTATTATAAAATACTTTATTACAAATTTGATCTTAGCTTTTTTTGCAAGAAAGAACAGATAATATTTACTTACTGTCCTTCAAATTTTAATAACCTCAAGATTAAAGCTGCCAGTCCAATTGCTGGATCAAAAACACAGTTTTACCCCCAAGAAAGACAGACTGAAGTCAGAGTCTATCAGAAATCTAAAAACAAGAGTCCTTTCGCTGGACATGAGAAAAACGGTAGTAAAGGGCAACCATGGAATTTCAAGATTCAAAAATCACCTAGACAACAAACATGCTCCTCCGTGTCCTTTATGCACATCTGTGATGTAATTACAGTTGAACACCGGAGTCAGGAAGAACAGTGTCCTAAATGAATGGATGTGAAAATTTACGGTCAAATACCTGCTGCACAGTGGGGAAACGGCTTCTTTGAGCCAAACTAGCAGGGTGAGTTTCCAGTCCATTGTGGCTGCGGTGTTTGGCACGGCCAAGTTTACAGACTTCAATGACCTGTCTCATCACTTACTAGACAAATCATTGCTGATCTTAGGGCTGCAAATGAGTGTCTAAGGGACAATAATGCAGAAAATCTAGGTTTTGAGAGATTAGGAAATCCTGGTGAAACTACCTAAAGAGCATTCTAAAAATGTAATTCTGGTATTTCTACTGGATCCCTCTGTGACACCATACATATCATTTGGGAGCCAGCAAAACTGTCAAGCCACACTGCCCTTGTGCCTTTAAATATACCACAGTGCCAGTTTAACTAGTGTTTCTGTTTGCTGCTTTGTGGGATTCGACCTGATGGTAAGAGACAAGGCCAAAGAGTGGATGAGCACAGACTGTGAGGCTCCTGATGAACAAGGCAAGTCTTGCACACTCAACTCTGATGATGTAGACAGTACTTGGGAAGAAAGGTGGAGCCAGGGCCTCACCACCATGAAGACGGTCTACTGAGGCTGCAAATGGGTCCAGAAGTGGCATCACACTGCAGGGTGGCCATCCCCACTTGGCTTCTCCTTGAAACACAATTGCAGCTGCATTCTGCATCACTGGAAACTGCGACATGATATTAAATCTGTTGGTCTATGTGTGGCTGTGTATATGTTTCTTGGGTCCAGTGTGACACAAACATGTGCCCACATGCTGGCCAGAAGGCTGGGCAGCCACTATGGCAGTGCTGAATGACCATACTAAGGAAGTGTCTTGTGTTCCAAGTGCTGATCTAAAAAAATTGCTGCTCAAATGCCATGGAGCTTATCTAAATGTCTCAGAGCCAACACAGAGAAGCCAATAGTATGTGCTGGGGAGAAGCAGGGCTACTAGAAAGAAATGTGTCACACAAACAAAATTATTAAGAAATAAGGTGGACTGTATCTCTAAAGCGATCTCCATCAGATGAACTATAGGTCTAGACTGGGGTTGGCAAACTTTTCGTCAAGGGCCAGACTGAAACTATTTTAGACTTTGTGGGTCTTACGTTTTTTGTTGCCAGTACTACATTGTGCCATACATCACCCATAAAGGAATGGGTGAGACTGTTGTTCCAAGAAACTTTACACAAGCAGGAAGAGGGTTAAAAGCCAGTTTACAGACCCTCTGGGATCAGAGGAACACGGCAGATGACTTAGATGCAGCCACACTTTTTACACTTTTGCCACCAGGATGGACATGTCTACTAACACGGTCAGTGACTACTAACTCCCCTACTGCATGGCAGAAAATAGGTACCACACAGTCACCAGGCTCAAGGCTCTGTCCCTTAACAGCTTTGGGGTCCCATGCAGCCTGCCCTTTCCCCACTCTAGCACCTTCAACATCCTTTCCCATCTTGGTAACACACAGGGGGCCAACATGGTGACCAGTCTACCATGACAGTACTGACCGCACCGAAGCTGAATTTGTTTCTTTGTCCTTGACCACCTACGCACAGCTGCCCCAAGTCTTTATGGAGGCTAGGGAATACCAACTGTGCCACTTACACAAGCAAAGGTCCACCCTCACCAACAGTGGACCCTGGCTCTGGGTTTACAGGGAGTTGTGTGTGCTTCAAGAGTTCCTTCGGGATGCGTGGTCGCCGAGCTGTGCACTCACATTCCTCTTTAAAGCTGTCCTGCGTAGGACCCGAAGCCTGCTTGCTTCCTTTGTCTTGGCATGTGACACAACAGGCTGTGGATCCTTGTCCCTGACAGGCAGGGCAGGTCAAAACGAGCTGGCGACATTGGGGAGTAGAACAGAGTTTATACTGGTCCCACTGGGCTCCACAGTATGAACATGCTAGAGAAGGAAAAGCCCTTATTAAACACTCACACAGAGCCGTGCATTTCTCCAGCTCCTAAAGAAACTCTTCCCTTACGAGAATCTAATACATTCTCTTGGCCCTGGGGAAGTTTCTGAATAGTAAGTTTCTTGTCTACTGACAGAGAAAATGCTGTCCCTTGCTTTTGTCTGGGGCAGAAAGACTTTGCTTCTGGAAGCTTTTTCTGAATCTAGTACTGAGTGACTTACTTTTCTTTTTCCCCATCCAGAAAATAGGTGCTAATGCTTTTCTCTTCCATTAGCTATCTCCAAACTGGCCAATGCCATTAAATCAGTCCCCTTTCCCAGTAAGGACAACACAACTGAATACAAGACGGCCCCACATTCATATTCAACTTCTACGGTGCACATCCCACTTTCTGGGGCTGGAGTCTCTGGCTGTGGCCAGGACACCTGACCACCTGACACACATTATATTCCTTCCAGCCTGTTGCTTCCTGTCACTGTTGGTGACATCAGCCTTCAGGTGAGGTGCAGTCTCCTCAGCTTGCCTATGTAAGCTACCTTTGGGCCTCTTTCTCTCCCTTCACACTGAGCTGCAGGCACTCATCAAGGTCTACCACTATTTCCTCTAAAATCTCTGCAACTCTTTCCACTTACAATTTCTATATCTAGCTCCAAAAAAGGTCAGAAATAGCTTTCCTTTTTTCTTTCTTTTTCCTGTCTTTTTGAGACGGGGTCTCCCTATGCAGTTCAAGCTGGTCATGAGCTCACTTTGTAGCCCAGGCTGGTCTCAAACTCACAATGATTCTCTTGCCTCAGCCTCCCGAGTGCTGGGATTACAGGCGTACATTACCAACTCTGGCTTACAAGTTTTCAATAAAAAATATATGGCTATTATAATGAGTTAAAAAATCAAAAAGGAGAGAAGATAATCAAACTCAAAACCTTTCTCATTATATCTGAGAGAATTTACCCCAAACCCTCGTCACAAGAGGTCTAGACACTACAGCAGCCACTAAGGTAGTCCGGGGCAGAGCAAACATTCTGAAGGATCGCTCACTGCCTGTGCCTGAATAGCCCACTGCACTAGTGTGGGCTCCACCCTGTAGCCCAAGCAGAGGCTGCCTGCGCTGACTGCATCCTTACACACTCCAGACACTAGCCCTGGGGTCAGCTCTCACAAACTAAGTGCATGTTGCATGTGTGTATGGACCATCTACACCAAGAATTCTTTTCTTGTTTTCTGCCATGGATTTACTCAGTAACCTGGTGAAGACTATGGACTTTGTCTTGAAAAAATTTTAAATGCACAGTGCATATTACAAAGAAAATTATATAAACTATCAAAATGTTTTCCACTGTGATATAGTGAAATAGGCATTATTTACTAATACCCTAAATAATAAGACTTAATGGTGAATCTAGTAACTATTTACATGAGGCACTGATGAATATAAATGCCGTTCTGAGACATTCACAACTATAACAAGATGGTAAAAGTACTGTGAATTATGTGAGTTTTCTTGAAGACACCAGGTACATCCAATAAAACAGGTCTGTTGGCCATATTTGTAATTGAAGGATATGCTTAATTTTCATAAGGAGTTACTAAAAATTTTTCCTATCCATATTCACAGAAGCCCTGAATATAAAGACCCCAGATTATGGCCAGCTCTTAGTGGGCAGGTGGCGCAAGTAAGCTTACGGCCACTTTAAAGGGACTTGCATGCCTAGTGGTACTCAGAACAGCCAAGGGGCCAGTGCAGGCCTCCTGGTGCCTTGTCCTGGGACCTGCTGCTCCACAGCTCCTGCCAAAACAGTGATGCGGTGAACTCATTTCCATGGTTTTTCTCTCCAGGCCATCAGCACTGGCCTGTCCCTCCTGTGCAGCATTGCTGTAAAGGGGAACTGATGGTGTGTGGGTTTCAGTGGTGCTCCGGTGCTGTTCTGACCTACCTGATACCACATTACTGTTGTAGGACAGAGCGTAACGCTCATCAAAAACGAACAACTTCCCCTTGTAAAAGCCATCAGGAAATTCTTCCAAGTACTTGTGGATACCACCCTTGAGCTGGAACACTTCCTTACACACTCCCTGGGTGTGGAAAAACAAGAAATGTGAAGAAACACACACAAATGTAAAAGCTGCGGAGTGCCCAAGGGAATTCCAGGTCAGTGCCATCAGCTGGGTCTTTCTGGCTCCCCCTGCAGGACTCAGGGTGATGAAGCGGCCAAGAGACTCACGGCCAGCCCGCGCCTACTGGGGGATGGGTGATGACAGCAGTCAGGGCCTTGCGCTCTAAGATCCTGGGAAGCTCAACTATTTTTGCTGCCCCCTAAATATAGGAAGACATCTGCTCGGACATGTGATATTACTGAATTTGTTCTTCTCGAGATCAAGCGAAAGGATCAGGAGAAGGGAGACACTAGACTGAGCTTTCTCTTTTTATCTGATGAGTCTCTAAGATTAAGTACTTTTCGCATTGAGATTTAAGAACCTCAGAACCTGACTGGGAGTGAGGGGCAAGGAGGGAGTTGGTGGGTCATTCTTCACCTCCTTGGTGGCAATGTCTTCAATGAAGGGGGGTGGCTCACCTTGGCTTTGAGGTAGGCTGAACCGCGCTCACAGCGGATGCCTCCGGTGCAGTACATCAGCACTCTCTTCTCTCTGAAAAGCTCTAGATTTTTGTCAACATAGCTAGGGAAATAACTGAATTTCCTGATGTCTGGGGCTAAACAGCCCTGGAATCGTCCCTGTAATACAGGAGTGCAAGAAGAAAAAGGATCAGAAAAACATACCGGGAAGGAACAAAGGTTCTCCCTGTGTCAAACAGCTCCCACCTCAGCAGAGAGATTTTGTCAGCTGCTGCTCTCATCCCATAATCTGACCTTTTAACCAAGATGTGAGACAAGAGCACAGGTTTGTGGGGCACAGGTCACAGTCCCACAGAGTCCACAGGGGAACTGGAGAGCCTACTCAGGGCCAACTTTACCAGACTATTGGCATGTTGAGGGTAGGGGCTCATAGGAATCAAAAAATATATTATGCACCAACATGTACTTAATTCATATTTTCTTATACTTTCTCAGAGGCATGTACCACAAGTTGCTCTTGGGAAATCAGTCATGCCGTGGGAAGGGGGAGACTGATGGTTTCACTAAACTCAACTTTGGTTCTTACTTACTATTTTGCTTTCATAGAAGTTTCTGCAATCCAGTAGGATAGTATCACTTTGTTCTTGGCCTGCCTGAGATAACAAATTTTCTACTTCTTTATGAAATTCACCTGGGGTTAAATGGATTCCTAAAACAAAACCAAAAACGTATGTTAAAACAAAATAAACAAAACCTTAGGCCAACTGGTCTAACCTGACATGTCAACTTCCTTCTAATAATTACAACTGTCCCCTAATAACAGTATTTGATGAATGAGAAAATAATTTAGTAATTTCAGGTATCCCAATTTCCCTTTAAGACAATGACTACAAAGATGTGGCAGTTGAGAAACAGATAATTTTTGTACCTGTATAACACTAGGCCCAATCCCACTAATAAAAACCAGGCAACTGGGATCCTCTTGAGTTTGCTGGCCCATCATCCGGCCGGCCATTAGTGGATCAGGAAATGGTTACTGGGCTACTGTCACTGTGCACGAAGCTCTCTGGCATGTATGTGCTTGACTATAGGCCTCAAATGTTCTATACCAAGATGAGCTCAAGCTCTAGGTTAAGAAACCTGGCCTGAGCTGAGAACACAGAGTTTTTAAATGCAAAAAGATAATATAGAAGAGTAAATCTTCCACTAAGAAATGTCTGCATTTGTATGTATGAGTAAAAAAGCAAAGGGTTCAAAGGGCTGCCAATAGGAATGACTTTGAGAAGCAAGATAAGAGAGAGAAAAGGACAGAAAACCAGAAGATAAACTGAATGACTACAGAGAACAGCACTGTGGTGGAGCCCTCTGCCTCCTGACAGTCCAGGACAGAAGTATTTATGTACTTTTGGTCCTCTAAGGCATCTCAGTAAATTGTGAGGCACTTTAGGGGAACGTGACACTGGGATTTTCACCCCTCTGTTAGGTGGCCCCGTATCACCCAAGGAGTCACACTCCACCCAACGATGAGCTCCAATCTCCCCAACAGTGCTCTGTATAGGCAAACTAGATTTCTAGTACTTAGCATAAAAAAGTGCTTCAACTTTTTTATTTTGATTACATGTTGAAATGATGACATTTTGGATGTACTGCACTAAGTAAAGCAGTATTAAATTATTAAATTGTATTTTTTACTTTTTGTGGGGCACAGGTCACAGTCCCACAGAGTCCACAGGGGAACTGGAGAGCCTCAAATGTTCTATACCAAGATGAGCTCAAGCTCTTTTATCTATGAATTATGTGAGTCTTCTTTTGCATGTGGCTACAAGAACATGTAAAATTGTATTAAGGTGCTCATATATTTCTATTAACAATATTCTAAATCTAACTACCAATTTAGAGAAAATACAGGGAACAAAGAAATATCACATAGGATACACTTAGGCTTATCCAGATTACAAGCAACTGCAAATGACCCAGTTCCTTTAAAAACTAAACTGTAAGAGGGAAAAAAGATGGAAGTTAGTTTATAAAGACACTTCAAGAGACTCACTGATGAATTATAATGAATGGGTCTGATATGAATCCTAATGGAAACTTAAAAAAAAATTAGAATATGACTGGAATTAACTTGTAGACATTTGATAAAATGTTTATGTTTGATAAGTTTTCTAGTTTACAGTTTTAATCATTTAGTGATACCTACTAAAATGTGTGTAAATGAGATGATATGACATTGAGATTCCCTTCAGAACAATCCAGAATAGGAGGCTGAGATGGTATAAATCACACTTGGCCGTGAATTAGTAACTGCTAAAGCTGCATGAAATTCACTGTACTATTTTCTCTACTCTTTTAATATTTGGGAAATTTTCATAGTAGGAAGTAAAACAAAAACAAAAACAAAAAAACCCACCTAACAAATGTCTTTCAGTCATCTATCACCGTCAGAGAAAAGGGTAAGAAGACATTCTAGCACACAGCAGACTGGCTTGCTATTAAAAGCCATTGCCTTTTCTAGTAAGGAGCCTATGTGTTCTAATTTGCTGATGAATTATTTACTAGTGATAATTACCTTCTCCCCAAACTGCTGTTTGGAAATAGAAAACAGCTTCTTGTCAAACTGTCACCAAGAAGAATGACATAGGTCACTCTAAGGAAGGGTTTTCACTTATACAAACACCACGGATAAAAACCAATTTAAGCACTAAATGGAGCCGAACCTCACAGCTACTTAAAAGATCCATCCCAGCTTTTAATGGGCAGTGTCTAATTTGTCCATTAACTTTCAACCCTTTGGTGAAAAGCCCAACTCTTTCTACAAACAGGCATACCAGACTTCTTGTAGGAGATCTCACTGGGGCTGATCCCCATGGGTACGATTTCTTCAAATACACCAACACGCAGTTCCGGAAAACAGTGAGCACCTCCTTTGCTGGTCTAGCCAATGAGAAATAAAACAGAACACAGTCTTCCTGTCCCATCACCAGAGGTGAGACAAGTGCTAATCCTAAGAATTAAGACCTGCTTTGTAATATGATGAACTCTTAAGAAACCTGAAATTAGAAAAAAAAATTAGGAACCTCAATGTGCCAGACAGGTTGGCCCAGAATGACTCAGATAATTCAACATATTAATAAGTACTGCATATTTCCAAGGTGTGCAGAAACACTGTATTTCTAGGGCTATGCATATTTAAGTATACAAGCAAAGCACCACTGCGAAATTCCACTGTGCAAATTCCACTGTGCAAATACTCTCGGGCTTTACCACTAGAGCCTTGCCCCCCAGCATGGCCATTACCTTATCACTGCTATGATAAAGCATAAAGTCACTCAACAGCTGGGCTGTGAGCGCCAACAGCTTCACTCCCTCACGTGTCGTGTGCATCTTTTTAAATTCGAGGTTTACTGAAAACATAGTAAATCACAGTGATCTAAGAGAGGGAGTCTCTCCAGTGAACAAATACACTGAAGTTTTAGAGTCCAAGGCTGTGTAGCTAAAGCATCCTTATTGTGTATGGAGAGAGACTCAGGTCTAGAGTGGACACCAGCTGACACAAGGTCACTGATGGCTCATAGGAAGAGCAGGGATCAGTGTGCTCCTTCCACTGTACCGTCCTCTAACATAAAGGACAAAGAGGGTTTACACGGCACTGCTTAGTTTTCTATTTCGGTCACCTGTATTGAGACAGAAGAAGACAGCTCCGGATCATTTTCTTTCATTTTATATTTCTCTTACCTTAAAATCATCCTTACACAGACAATCCTTAAATAATGGGCAAGAAAGCATGACTTCCACATAGAGTCTGGTGGCCAATTTGCTCCCACCAACTGTCCCATTGATCCCTTCATTAGCGATTCGAACCTGAGGCACACAATGAGCAATAGGGAACAGAACACAACCTTAGTTAACACGAGGCTGATGAGACTAACAGGAAAAGCCAAGCTATTACATTGCCGGACAGATGAGGTATTCAATTCATGCATGCACAACAAGACAGTCTCACTAACTTTTGGAAAGCCCACCTGCTACAGAGCTCCAGTCATTCAGTAGCCAAAGCGGTGACTTTGGAGCTAACTTAAGTCCAGGTGGCATAACACAGTCCTCCTGAGGCCAGCAGATTTAGGATCTAGATTTAGCTCTGCCACTTACTTGCCATGTTGTCCTAAGAAGGTTAATGACTTCTCTGAACTTGGATTTATTCATATTGATAAAGAGTCCAAATAACACCAAAATTGAATTAAAAAAAAATAAACGATTACTAAGAATATACTACTAACATTCTAAAGTACAGACATCCTCAAGAATATGCAGTATCTCTTCCTAGTGGTTGGGAGGAAACCACCATTGCAACCCCCACACTCCGAACTGAAGTCCCGGGAAGGGTGTATGTCTGGCTCACTGATGTATCTCCAGGACCTAGAATGCTGCCTGTATCACGGTACTCTCTGGAAAGAGAAGTGATTTAAAGCACTTGTTACTGCTATTAATGTACAAGCACATCAGAATTTGAAAGTTTTAAGTGGCTCTCTTTTTTCAGGTTCCCAGAGAAGAACTTGAACAGCTGCCTTTTCTTGATCTAATTCTTCATAAGCCAGTGGCAACTCACATGTAGTGGTTGTGCAAAGTTACATGATACAGACTCTATATTACATCCCTAGTACATAAGAAAGCATGCTGAGTCTAGCACAGCCTGCTTCAGATGCGGGGCACGGAAGGAGAAGTTACACCACCTCTGCTGCACAGGCCCTTAGCTGTGCAGCGCTGAACTAGCCAGAGTGTCAGGAAAATTCCTCCAAAACAGTCTGGCTGAGGCTGTTATGATAAGACATATACTTCCATGTGCTGTTTTTAGGCAGGCTAGCAGATTCTTTATTTTATTTTAATCTCAGAGGCCAATTAAATGGAAGCACACCTATTCCCTATGTAAGTAGGATAGAACAATCTCTATATTCATGTCTTAGATTTTCAATTGCTGTGATTCTTTTGGGGAGGGAGGGTACCGGGGATCAAACTCATGACCTCACGCTTGCAAAGCAGGCATTTATGCCACTAAGCTAAATCCCCAGCCCTGTGATTCTTGAACAGAAATTTTCAAAAGAGCTCCTTGATGGGGGGGCTTATATCTAAGAAACTGAAATAAACAAAAGCATTTACTGAGCACCTGCTAAAAGACAGAAACTTTACAAAATAATCTGGAAAGATAGGTATCATAATCACTACCTTACAGAAAAGAAGACATAGATGCTCAGAGAAGTCAAGAACTCACCTAGGGGCACAAGTTGATTGGTAGCCCTTGAGTTAGGATTTAAAACCACATCTCTCAAGTCTAAATCCTCTAATCAAATCTTTCCAGGTTCCCCTCAGATTTGAGGCCATAGGATATACAGTAGTAGGAATAAAATCTCCTTTCCATAATTCTAGAAATTTCAAGTTCTCCTTTTTCCCTAAGCAAGCATTGATATTCTGTGAAATCTAGTAGCACAAAACAGTGTCACTAAATTAACACGAATTCTTGAAGCCTAGGAATTTGGACCTGCACTCCAGGAAGATGCTGCCACCTTGTGGGTAAAACTTCTCACTGCTAATTCACCACTTAGGCTGAACCAAGAATAAAAATCTGTCTTCAAACCAAGAAAAGAGATTGATTTCATATTTTGTACATTCTGTCTGAGAAAGCACTCATCTTCCAAGGTATACAAGTTCTCTGAAAAGAAATAGTGATATACATTCATTCCACAATACTAATATGTTTACTATGCACCATAAATTGTGCTAGAACTTAGGGATAGTGGTTAAAAAAAGATTCTTCCCCTCTTGGGGAAACTGAGAGACTAAGGGAGGTGATACAGATCAAGAGATACAAACGGAGAGGTGCTATGAGCATAACTATATGTGTCATGTGGGAGCAAAATGGGAGAAATGGATTTAGACTGAAGGTTAAGAAAGGTCTTTTTAAGGAAGCATCATGAACTTCCTCAAAGATATGAGGCTTGAGTAAAAATTAGTCTGGATCGTGAGTTCAATCCCCAGTTGTAAAAAAAATTAGTCTGGAGATATAAAGTGAGTATATGAAAGTTTCTTGCAGACAATATACCACAAAAAGGCCCAAACACAGGAAGGAAAAAAAAGGGAAACCACCTTGGTGGGCTCCATGAAACTCAAAGACCATGTTGCTAAAGTGTGGAGAGTGACAATAGCAGTAGCTAAGTGGAAAACAGGAGGCCCAGGCACACAGGAATCCAGGGCACGTGAAGGACGTGGTGTTGGCTCACCGATGCTGGACAGCCGTTTAGGGACACTCGGTAGGCAGTGACAGCGCTTTATCTGGCTGTGCTATGAGCGTTGGTGAGGAGGGTGGACTGGAGATTAATGTGGAAGCCAGGGCATGCCTAGGTAAAGGGTGGTGGTGGTTTGGTCCAAGGTGGTAGAAGTGAAAGAAAGAAGTGACTGGAGTCAAGGGAATACTGTAGAGATGGAAATGGCAGGATCTGGGGGTCAAATGAACAGAGCATAAAAGTCACTATTTCTTAGCATAGGTGAGGAAGGTAGCACTGACTAGAACATTAGGAAGTGACTCAGAATCAGACCTATACCTACAGTCTACCCAAGGCCTTTCGAGCTGACATTTCACAGATGCTTTGCTATTCCAGGGGTCAGTACACTGTCTCTGCTTTTTAGTACTTTTACCAGAATGCAGCCGCAGTCACTCTTTTAGGTACTGTCTATAGCTGCTTTCAAGCTACAAGAGTATTAAGTGTCTGTATATGAAGTCTAAAATATTTATTATCTGGCTTGTTAAGAAAAAGCTGGCTATGCTATTAAATATTCCTATAAATTGCTACCCCTATAAAATACTCTACTAAAATGCCCAGCAGGACTTCCCTAACTTCTAAGAACCCAAAATGAATGAGTACAGGTCTGCAACCCAAAGTCGAGTGGAAAATGGGCCCAGTGCTGGTGTTACCTGGAGACGGTATTACCTTGCCTGTGAGATGCAGGTGCTCACACAAAGCTGTCTGCCACGCACAGACCCAGTGGGGATCCTCCAGGTCACGGTAGCAGTAATAAAGCAACACCTCTCCTTCCTCACAGTTGTGGTCACTACAAACAAAAAATGGAAGGAAAGACCATTGGAGTCGTCAGCATGAGAGGGACACAGTTCACAAAGCACACCCAGGAGGTATCTAGGTAAGGTAAAGATGGAGCAGCTCATGCCAACGTAAGAAGCCAATCCCTTTCTGTATTTGCTTTAGAGAAGACAGTACATACACACCCTTCATAAAAGTCAGCTCTTTCCTCCTTGACTGGTCATATCCAAGAGACAGGAATTACTAACTCCATTTTACAGAAAAGCTAAATTTTAGTTTATTTTGGCTTTTCCAGTAACAAAATTGCTAACTACATGAAAACTTTCACTTCCATTTCTTCATATAATCTTCTTACTTACGAGGTGATTATTCCCACAGAACAGACTTTTACACCTCAGCATTTTGGTACTGCTCACAGTGAAGCACTCAAAGTTTAATCATATTCATCACATCGTTTAAGAAACTAAAGAGCAAAATACAGTGCAATCCAAGGGAAAAGTTAAAAATAATTCCATTTACAAGAAAAATCACTAGTAATCAACCTAACCAAGATGGTAAAAGATCTCTGTAAGGAAAACTACAGTACTCTAAAGAAAAAGATTGAAGACATTAGAAAATGGAAGGATAAGCCGGGTGTGGTGGCTCATGCCTGTAATCCCAGCACTCAGGAGGCTGAGGTGGGAGGATCATTGCGAGTTCGAGACCAGCCTCGGCTACAAAGTGAGCTCAAGGCCAGCCTGAACTGCATAGTGAGACCCCATCTCAAAAAGACAGAAGAAAAAAAGAAAGAAAGAAAATGGAAGGATATCCTCTGTGTCTGAAAAGGAAGAATCAATATTGTCAAAGTGGCCAGACTACCAAAACATGGTATCTAGATTTAATGCTGTTCCTATCAAAATATCAACAACATTCTGTGCAGATAAAAAACAAAAATTTATATGGAACCAGAAGAGACTCAGAATAGTTGAACAATACTGACAAAAAGACCAAAGCAGGAGGTATTTCAATCACAGATTTTAACTTACACTACAAAGCTATAGTAATAAAAAACAGCATGATTCTGTCACAAAAGTAGACTTGCAGACCAATGGAATGTAAGACATAGAAACCAACCCATGTACCTTTAGTAGTCTGATCTTTAATGAAGAGACTAAAACCATATGCCGGAGAAAAGACAACCTCTTTAACAAATGGTGCTGGGAAAAGTGGTTACCCACATGCAGAAGAATGACAAACCCATACTTCTCACCTTTACTAAAACCATATCAAAATGAATCAAAGACCTAGAGATAAAAACAGAAACAATGAAACTGCTACAAGATAAACTAGGGGAACAGGCAAAGATTTCCTGAACTGAATTCTAACACCACAAGATATAATACCATAAGAAACAAATGAGATATTAAAAAATTTTAAAACTTCTCTACAGCAAGGGAAGCAATCAACAGAGTAAGCCTACAAAACGGGACTACCTTTTTTGCCAGCTACACTTCCACTAGAGAACTAATATCTAGAATATATAAATAATTTCAAAAAAATTAAGACAACCTCAGAACAAATGAGCCAATTAAACAATGGGATACTTTACAAAAGAAAAAATACTAACAGCAAATAAATACACACAAAAAAGTTTAGCACTTTAGCCATTACTAAATGCAAATTGGAACAACTTGGAGAAGTCACCTTACTCCACTATGAATGGTTATCAAGCACATAAACAACAAAGGCTGCTGAGGACTGGGGAAAAGGAATCCTCATATATCACTCATGAGAATATAAACTACTAAAACCACAATGAGATATTCTGCAAAAAACCCGAACTAAAAATTTCATGCAACTCTGGCTATAACTGCATATCCATGATTATAGCAGCATAATTCACAATACCTGAACTACACAATCAGTCAAAATACCATAAGCACATAAACAGATAAAATGTATACATAATAGATTAATATTTGGTCATAAAGAAGGACAAATTCAAGTCACTTACAGATCTTGAGACTGTATCTTAAGTGAAATAAGGCAGACACAGAAGATTAAATATTACATGATTTCTCTTACTTGAGAAACCCAAAATATAAGTAGAGAGTAAAACAGAAGGGAGATGGCAGGAAACAGGGAGACAGGCTTTTTGCAAATGGGAAAGGAGATATGAGGAAGATAGGGAAAGAGGACTGAACATGATCAAGATACAAGATCAGTGTCCCAAAGTGAACCCAATTACGAACATATGCCAATAAAAAATAAAACACTTTTTAAGAAAGTATAGATGTCAAAAAAATTCACTACATGGGATCCCAATAAATTCTGATAAGTGGTTCATTTGTCTGAGTTTATACACATAAATCTATCCAACTTATAGAGGCCTTTTTGTTTTTGGTTAGTTTTTACCATTCAATGTATTTAAAAACTTAAAATACTCCTGTACAGAGTGTGTGACACAAGCCTACAGTCCCAGACGGCTGAGGTAGAAGGACTGTATATTCAAGCTCAGCTGGGCAACTAAGTGAGACTGTGTCAGAGAAGAAGGAGAGGAAGGGAGGAAAGCAAGTGCTATGACATTCTTGTTCATGGACATGGGTTTTTTGTTGTTGGTGGTGGTTGTGGTGTTATACACGTAGAAGTGGATGACAGAAAAGATGTCCCACCAATAATCCCTAAGCGCTCCAGTTCCGCCACATGCTCATGACATTTGCCAAAGGTGGATGATCGCATCTTAGCCATTTAGTGAGTGGGCCACAGTACGATAACTTTAAAATTAAACCGAAGCACAGAATGAAAATCTTACCTTATTAGCATATCAGGACTAAAGCAGCTTATATCAGGAAGCCAAGCAGACACTTCATCGCTACGAGTTAGGTGCTCTTTGAAAGGGTTCTTCCTATCTGCAGGCCTAAAATTCTTTGAGGTACTCAATGTCACAGCCATCTGCTTTAAAATAGAAGCAGTCTGATGATAAATTTCATCAGTGTGTTGTGTTGCCACATGTCTGTGGATGCCGACTGGGTCCACGAATAGCTGCTGACAGCATTTCCACCATTTCTCTTTACACTCAAAAGGTGGGGCTAGAACTTGTTTGGTTTTGACGAAAAGGGCGAAGGCCTGCAATTATAGTATTATTAAGTAAGTTTAGGTTTATATAATGGATGTTTCAATGAAATCCTTTACATTATCTTTTCACAGGAGGTTCTATAGTTTTATATTTTACCATTCTATGGAAGAATCGCCTGAGAAAATAAGTTCTCTTATAAGAGAAGCTAAGAGTCTATACTATGGAGCATAGCACCTGCCTGATAAATGTGAGGTCCTGAGTTTGATTCCCAGTACAGTGTGTGTATATATATATAGTCCCTGGCTGTGAAATTTTATTCTCAAGATGCAAAATCGAAGTCATATCAGAATATTTATTTACATTTAATTTAGTTTGGCCTTGTGCCGTCTTCAGTAGCCCAGGCACCAAAATTGGAATGACAAGGTAAGGCCGGTGTCCATCCTGGCCTTTCGCAGCCTTTTCTGTGCTCCTCTTCCACATCTGTCTGACACGTGGACAAACTCAGACCCATGACCACTTTCATCCTCCCACTCTTGCCCACACTATTCCAGGACTCTAGTGGCCTCCTCTACAGAATCCTTAAAACTTCCAGAACACATTTTAGAAGTCACTTCTGACACAAAACATTCCATAGCCCTCTTACTAAAAGCTATTTTCCCATCTTTTGAACATGAAAAAAAAATTTTTTTTGAAGTACCGGGGATTGAATTCATCACCTTGCGCTTGCCAGGCAGGCGCTTATGCCACTGAGCTAAATCCCCAGCCCTGAACATGAAAATTTTTACATAATTGTAAAAACTTGCTCTGCTGTCTACTGTTTGTATCTTGATGAACAGACACAAAACTGAGAAAGTTATTGAGCATTTAGATGCTGAGTTTTCATCTGGAAAAAGCCATAAAGAATTATATAAATGTGAAACAAGATAATTAGATTTAGGCCCTTGTCTAGTACAGAACGTAGACATCATCCTTTTGCAATGTGTTTCCTCATCCTGTTTTCAGCCTAATTTTTATTTTTCCTTTCACAATCATATTAGCTGAATCAAACTAGTCTTTACTATTCCCTTAATATAACTTAAAAATCCCTGCCTTCTATTTTTGCTCGTACTAGTCTTAGTGTCTGTTAACACTCTTCCTCTTTGAAGGCCACTGAAAGACTAAGTATTATAAATACGTCCATTCTTTTATCTAAAACATATATTTGATGCAATTATAGACAAAATCGGACAAGGATCTTTTAGGACATTGGCAAGATTGTTCTAAATAAGAATCTTTTACTGCCCGTCAAAATCCTTTCTGCCTTCAACCTGGCAAATGATGTTTTCTAGACTTTTCTGTAATTGAACTTGACTATAATGACCAAGTTTTTTCCAATGGACTCTAAATGGACACAACTCCAGTTCTGGCCCATAAAAACCTCCCATGTGTGCTCCCCCATGTTCTCTTTCTCCTTACTTACTGATGTGGAAACCTTGGAAGGGGTTAGTTAAGAACTACAATAAAACATCAGTCTCAGTACCTAAGAACCTATATGTCGATAAGAACAACCCGCCCACCACATGCTTTCTAGAGATTGGGCCTATTTGTTATTGCAGCCATGACTAGTAAATGAGGAAATTAGTAAATGAGAATAAACTTGATATACCAGATGCACACATATTTTAGAATTATGATAAGCAAATACAGTAGCAGCCCATTCTGATAGGCATACGTAAAAAATCAAACAAAGAGCATCATGAAGTCTTTTATTCCTACATCCTACATGCAATCCACCAGCACTACTTCCAAAACATAGCCATCATCTTTTTTTCTTGTTTTGTTTTTGAGACAGAATTTTGCGATGTAGTTTAGGCTGGCCTTGAACTCACTCTGAAGCCTGGGTTGGCCTCAAATTTGTCGAGATTGTTCAGCCCCAGCTTCCTGAGTGACAGGATTACGGGCATCCACCATCACGCCTGGCTCAAATACCCATAATCTAACCACTTCTTATCACTTCCATTGGCTGCCATTCTGTTGCTCCAATAAAATATCATGAGTCCTCTGATTAGATCTCCTATTCTCCCTATTTTCATTTTTATCCCCATAATTTATGCTCCTTTCAGTCAAAAATTTCTTTTAAAACCTAAATCAGCTACAAGGTGAGCTCAAGGTGAGCCTGAACTGCATCGCGAGACCCTGTCTCAAAAAGACAAAAAGAAAAAAAAAAAAAAAAAAAAAAACCCAAAAACCTAAATCAGATAATGTCATTTCTCTAGTCAAAATCCTTCAAAGGCTTTTTTCTGCTTGCTAGCAAAGCCCTTCGAATGGCCTAGAAGACCAATATGGCTCATCACACTGCTCCTACCTTATCTTCTACCATTTGAGCCTCCTGGGAAATGGAGCCTCTGCACAAAGGGAACATGTTGCGTCATTCACACAATTCTTATGATTTGTTTTAAATTGAAGTTACTGAAGAAAGTGGAGAGGTGGCAGTAGGAAGTTACAGAGGCATCTATTTTCAAAGATGTGGAGCCAAAGATGGCTCTATAAGAGGGGACAAAATATTGAAGGCAAGACAACTAAGCCTCAATTTCATTTCCTCAGCTCATTTTTTTTTCTGAGCCTCAGATTCTCTACTGTTAGAAGAAGGAAATTTTACTCAATGATTAAAAAAAAAAGCCAAGGGTTTAGCTCAGTAGCATAAGCACCTGCCTGGCAAGCGTGAGGCCATGAGTTCAATCCCTGGCACACACACAAAAAAAAGATTAAAAAAAAGAGGACAAACGGCACAGAAGAACACCATTAATACCAGCTACTCTCCTCAAATACTCTACAGTAACTGTCCAGGATCACACTTTGCCCGGGACTCTCCATTGCCTGAGGCACATTAACATCACTGGCTAACGCTCCTAACTAGACCCTGCCATGAGCTGGAGGCCAATTTCTCTAAGGTATTTGTAGTAAATCTGCATTAACTACATACACATGATCATGAAAACATTGACAGTAATCTTACCTTTTTCTTTGCAAATGAGTATTTCTTCTTTGTAATGCCATCTAACTCTGCTTTGAGACTGATGCTAGGATTATCAAGATTTGTATCCTTTAAATCCAAGTCAGAAAATGTTAACACACAGGCCTCCTGATCATCTCCTTGGTCTGATGAAGTAGAAGAAGGCATTTGGTTTGGCTGCAGCAGTGAGGAAGAGATTTTTCAGATGAGGATAGAATATAAACAAAAAAGAAACAGCATTGTCAAAGTCTTCATTTACTTCTCGAAGCAAATATGAAGCTAATTAATTATATAACTTGGCATGTGCTCAGCACACCAAGCTCTACATTCATTCATTCATCCAACAACATTTATTTAACAACTCTGCAATGCCAAGCATGGTTCTACACACTGCAAATATAGCAGCGAATCAAACTGGCAGAAGTCACAGTCTTGTAGAGTTTTATGCTTCTGGAAAGAGATGAGTAATTTTTTTTAAAGTCACATGGTAAAGAGTTATGAAGCAAAGTAATTAAGAAAGCAAAGGGATGGAAGGTATGTTTAAACACAGAGGATAAGAAAAGCCCTTCCAGGGCAGTAGAGCAGCATTTGAGCAAAACACGGATTAGGCAGCAAGCCATGCAAACATTTAGAAGTAAATGGTACAGAAAAGTACTACCTACAAACAAAATCAATCAAGCCATGTGCCAGAACCTTATGAATACTTTGAACCTTATGAATACAATTTTGAATACTTTGTACTTTCTGCTCCCAAATTTCAGGCGTTTTTTTTGTTTGTTTATTTGTTTGTTTTTGTTTTTTTGAGAGGGTGTCACTGTTGTGGTTCAGATTGCCCTGGAACTATGTAGCCTAGTATGGCCTTAAACTCCTGGCAATCCTTCTGTTGCAGTCTCCCAAGGGCTGGGATTACATGTATGAGCCACTGTGATTGGCTCAGAGCCCACTTTAACAGCCAGAGTATCAATTTTACTACTGTGGCTAAATCCTGTCAAAATGGATACACTACAACCAACCACTGCATTCTTTCTTTTATACAGTAAAGCAAATGTTACAAGTAACCAACACTAAGAGGCAACACCATGCCCTGAGAAAAGCATGCTTTTTGGCTGCAAGTATGTGAACCTAGGCAAGCTATTTTACATTTTCTGAGTTCTAATTCTCTAACCCATAAATTAAAGATGGCAGTATCTACCTTACAGGACAAGAAAGGGAATTTAATGCTATATTTTATACTTCACATTAAAAATGGCTTTCTCCAGAAATTAGCTCTAGCAGATTCTATTTTCCAAAAATGACCATAGCCATTCTTAGTCTATTTCTCTGTTCTCTAAGCTTATATAGCCTGATAACTGCTCCCAAAATAAAATAAGATGGAGGCAATTATAGGTAGCTTCTCAGACTGGATCCTAAAAAAGAATATACTTGCGCTGATTCAGCTTTTAGGATGCTCACTCTGAAACCAACCAATATTCAGCTCACAGAGACCACAAACAAGGAACCACCTAGAAAGGAACTGAAGCTTTCAGCTGACAGACAACACCAACTGCCAGACTCAGATGGTTCCAGTACCAGTTTTTGAACTGAAAACAAAGAGAAACTGTCTGTGTTATGCCTTATTTAAATTCCTGTCCTTAGAACACTAAACCATTAGGTCACTAGTGAACTAGTAAATTGTCTCCTAAAAGTAATCTTAAAAGAGGCAGCCTGAGGTGGACATCTGAGGTTCTGAGAAGAGTGGTAACAGGCAGAGAGGTCCCATGTCCAGAATAGGGTGCAGAGAGAGAGTGCTACTGAAAATGAACAAAATGTAGCACTGGGGACTGATCCAGGACCTTTGTACTGAGTTAATCCTCAGTTCTTTTTTATTTTGGGGCAGGGTCTCACTAAGCTGCTAAATTGCCTAGGCTAGGACTCAAAATTACAGTCTTCCTATACTCCTGCCTCAACCTGTAAGGATGCTTAAATCATTAGTATGTGCCCCACATTCAACTTGTGGGATGATTTTTGTTTCTGTGTTTTGAGAACAGCCCTTGCTATATGGTTCAAGTTGGCCTTGAAATCACTATGTAGGTGTGGCTGGCCTTGAACTCATGGCAATCCTCCTGTCTCAGTCTTCCAAATCCTGGGACTACAGGCATGAGTTGATATACCTGACTTGTGAAATGATTCTTGGTTCCTAATTTTCTCACAAAATCATCTAGCTTTCCTGAAAAATCTTATCAGCCTTGTTTTAGGAGTACCTTCAACACTCCCTAATTTTAAACCCTCGGCATTTCTTGTTTGAATTATTGTAACAGCCTATTTCCTTGTAAGAATCAAGAAGGTATTAAAAAACAAGTTAGATCATCTTTCAAAGGTTTCTCAATTTAATCAGATAATGTCTGATTTAAAAGCCCCTTTCCCTTACTTCTCCTATCTCATTTTCCACTACTCTCCCTTTGCTCACTAACTCAGATTGCACTACTGTACTTGTGCTCATTCTTTAATGCGTCATTCAGAAGATCAGCACCAAGACAGCGCGGGTTTTCCTTTATTTCCCTGCACCCTCAGCACCTAGAACACTGCCTGGTGCATAGGAGATGCTAAATGGTAATAAACACAGCATACTTGTTGGATAAACAACAGTCACTGAACAGTCAAGGAAATACCTCAAAAAGGACCAGATGGTTGAGGTGAAACCTCAGCCAAAATAAGCAGAAGTCAGCCATGAAGATTTAGGAGCAGAGACCTTCAGGTAAAGCAAATAAAGAGTACAAATTCGTAAAATGGGAACAAGTTTAATTTATCGAGAGAAAAAGTGGGTGGAGCAGAACGATGAAGTCAGACCTCACTGGCCACGATCAGAAGTTTGGAATGGAAAGTCCGTGGAGAATTTTACACACACAAGTAGCGAGATCTGATCATGGATTTGCTTTCAACACACAGTCATTAGGGTTTATAGACAAATGGTCATGTCAGAAAGAGAATACTATGAACGATTCCTCAGGTTTTTAGGTTAAGCAACCGAAGGATAGTGCAATGTCATGAAGTGGGAGACTGAGTGGATAATTTAGGCCGGGAGAGTGAAATTTCAGATGACCGTGGACAAAGCAGTATGCTCTGTGCTCATAAAAGCCACGCGGATAAAGTTCATATAATGTACGGGTAAAGTTACCCAATGAACACTAGAAATAGATTGCAACACTGAAAACAATCATCTGTCCCTTCTCAATCAGACCACTGGGAGGAAAGCACCAACACCACCTGCGCAGACGGCTCGTTGGCTGCAGGTTTGACGGTCCCCGGGGGAGGCCTGTGCGGCGACGCCTTCCGCCCAAGCACCAACCCGTGCCCCGCGCCTGGCCCAACATCCCGGTCCAATTCCCCGAGGAGACAGAGGCCAGGAGATGGGAATAAAATGAGCACGTACCCGTAGGTCCTGCTCCTTTCTAGTTCTGCCTTGAACGAACAGACAGCCCGGAAAAGGTCTCAGGTTCCTAGGCTCTACCCTACAGCCTCGCCGCCTGATTGCGTAAGAGGGACGTCCATGACGTCATCGCGCTCCGGATGTTTGCGCGAGAGTAAGCGCAGGGGTCGTCGGGAAAACGTCGCGAGCGACGGCAGAGGTCGCTCCTGTGCCTTACTTTCAGGCTAGGTTAGCGGACAGCAGGCTCTAGCTAGCTGCAGAGGTGGCGCCTCCTGCGTGGCCCCGGAAGCAGACAGAGCGGAAGGCGGGAGGAGGAAGCAGCCGACAGCAGAGGAAGCCCGAGGGGGCGGCTGCGTGCTGACCACACGCCCGTAGCCCGGTGAGCGGCAGACGCTGGCGCTTCGCTGCCCAGCCCACCTGGCGTCCTCTCCACGCGCGTTTCCGGGAGCCGTCGCGAGTGAGTGCGCCTGCGCGCCGGCCTCTTCGCGCGCCTCGTTGGTTCTTGGTGCCGGTCGGCGTTCCGACTGATTCTGTAGTGCCCCCGGGTCCAGCGATTCGGCCCGCCGCCCGACAACGCACAGGTGGGCAATATGTCACGGCGGCGGCACAGCGACGAGAATGACGGTGAGTTCACTCAAATTCATCCCCAGGCTTTGGTCTTCGGGTCATCGGGGAATGAACGGGAAGCCTTTTTTTCGCACGGAGAGTTCGGGGTGCGTTGCAGGAAAAGTGCTGACCCCCTGCGGGTGTGACCTGGCGGCATCTGGAAAGTCACTCCCTCGCCACGCCCCCGGCTCCTTCTGTCAAGGGATAGGAGGCCTTCTGAGCCCCTAGGCCTACCCTGGTCTCTAAGGACTCTTGGATTTGGCCCTACCCGGCCTAGCAGGAAAGGCCATCTGTGTTTGTCCGGCTGCCTTTTTGGATCAGTGATGGGGGCATAGTAGTTCCAGTGTTATATTTGAACCCCTAAAACGCTGGGTCTGAAAACGGCTCTCTGAAAACTTCTCAACAAAGCCGTGATAAAAATCAGGTAGGTTGCCATCTGAACTCTACTTCTGTACTAGTTGTACATTGCTTATCCTCTTGAAAGTTGCAAGGAAAGAGTTTTGTGTCTTCTTCACGCCCAAGCAGTCACTGATAAACAGATAGCTGTTGCATTAGATTCACCTTAAGTGTATTTCTCCCATGTAAGAAAGTACTGGAAAACTAACTGGAGAAGCCCAAAGGTTCTTGTCCATTTGCATGGTTGTATTTATGGAGATCTAGTGTTGCCCTGCTAAAAGTTAGGAATAATTTTGCTAGTTTATTTTTTATTAGTATGTACTTACAGTGCACGATTACATTCATCTTGAAGAACTGGTACATGTATATAACACATCTCAATTTTTTTCTATCCCCTTCTCCTCTTCTCTCTCCCACTTCCTCCATCTCTTGGTCCCCTTCTCTTTTGAAATTTTTTGCTAGTTTAGAGAGGAAAAGATCCTTGCCTTAGTAAGCATTACAGTAAGTTAACACACATCCATATACAAAACAATGAAATCTAAGAGTAATTCTGTTAATATTTTATGGTATTATTCTTTGAAAGAAGTGTATCTCATAGAGGATTTGGAGTGGAATGTTTGAAACCAGAGCCTACTATTTACTTTGTGATCTGCCCAAGTTGCATAACTTACTAAAACAATGGTCTGTCATATAGAAGAAAGGATGTTTTCTTCATCTGCTTATGCCACCAAGCTATATTCCGGGCCCTATCTTCTGTTAATCCTTTAGGGTGATAAACACTGGCACAGGCCAAGAGAGTAAGAAAAGTTTAAAAAAAATTATTTTTGCTGTAGGGTCTCAGTTAAAGTTGGCTTTGAACCATTTTGCAGCCCCAGCTGGCTTCAAACTTATAGTGATCTTCCTGCCTCAGCCTCCTAGTGCTGGTACTGCAGGCATGAGCTATCATGTCTGGCTCAAAATTTTTAATTGAATGAGTTTTCTCCACTAACATTTTTCTCTCTGGAGTGTTGAAACAGAATGGGGACAGCGTTACATGCATTGTTTAACAGTAAAATGAGGTTTCTGCTAGGGTATGGCTTGAGGGGATATTCTAGTCCAGCCTTCTAATCTGACATGTGAATGTCTATATCCTTGAGTGTCAATAACAGGAAGACATGGCTAGCAGTGCCCAGACACCCTAGGAGGACCAAATCCAGGAGCTGTCTGCTACAAGGATATAACTACATTGCACTATTTGAACCCGCCCCCCCCCCAACCTCTCACTCATACCAGTGATTGAAGCCAGGGCTTTGACACTGAGCTACAACCTCAGTCCTGTGTTATTTTGAGATGAACCTTGCTAAGTTCTCCAGGCTGGGCTTGAACTTTCTCCCTTCTGCCTCATCTCCCAGAGTTCTGAGATTACAGACTTGCACCATCACACTTAACTCAGCATGCTTTGATTTTTAGCACAGACTTTTTTTTTTTTTTTTTTTGGTACCAAGAATTGAACTCAGGACCTTGTGCTTGCCAATTTTATGCTTTCTTTTCTTTGTCCATTCTCCATCTCACTTCTTGCGCATCCCTAAAGAGGTATCACCAGAGAAATGGAATGTGGATACGTGGAAAAACAATTTTTGCTTTGGTTATTTGGAGGCTTGCATAATTTTCTTTTACTCTTAACTGGCACCTGAATCACTAGGGCATATAGTAAGAACCCCAGAGTAACTAAAACAAAAAAATGTAAAATAAGACATTTTTTAAGCAGAGTTTTTGGTGAGTAAATTAGTCATGGAGAGCCACCTTGTAATACAACAAATCTTTAACTTTTGTAAATTGCCACAATAGGAAATGAACAGAGTTTTCGCTAAATAGTGATTTGAATCACATATTTTGGTAGCTTTCCTTTTAGTTGAGCATCTGTGAAGTTTTTTAAAGTTAGAAATATTGGAAGTTTAGATATTTCTGAAGGCTATTTTGAAGTAGACTAGGAATTACAGTAGTCAGAATTAGATATATCTGACCTGTCTGGGTCATTACAGCTCCTAACACTCCCTCACTGCCCTGAATTTCCATGTTTGACTATTTACAGTTGACCCTCTGTATTTACTAATTATATATCTATATTCTTCCAGTTGTGTTTGGAAAATATTTGGGAGGGAAGTTGTGTCAGGACTAAACTCAATTTTTTTTGTCATTCCCTAAGCAATACAGTATAACAACTGTCTACATAGTGTTTACATTGCATTGGGTTGGTATTGTAAGTAACCTAGAGATGACTTATTTTAGATGTTGTCTTAGTTACTTTTCTCCTTATTGAGACAAAAATACCCAATAGCCAAAGTCAAAGGAGGAAAGGTTTATTGGAGCTCAGTTTGTGAAGGTTTCAGTTCATAGTTAGCTGACTTCAAGGCGGGGTGGCAGGGCAGAGGGGCCCCGCAGAGGACAAGCAGTTCATGGCAGGTGGTCGGGAAGCAGCAGCATATAGGGAAGCATCGTGTTCTCCCTTTATCCCTCTGGTACTGCTCACCTCTGGGTGATGCCAACCACACCCAGAGTAGGCCCTCCCATTACCCACACCCAGAACTATTCTTAACTAGTCAGTGGACTAATTTGCTAATCACATCCCTCAATTCCATCATCACATGCCCTAAATCCTACCACCTCAGAAAAGCCCTACCTGTTAATGCAAGCAGTTTTGAAGGAACATCTAAATACAGGCCGTAAGAAATATACATGTGAGGGGTGTATACAAATGCTATTCTGTTTTACATAAGGGACTTGAGGGTCCTTAGATTTGGGTGTCTGTTGAGGATGAGAGGGAGTGTATCCAAGAACCAGTCCTCCTTAAATCCAGAGGACAAGCGTATAATCCATTAGGACTTGCCCACCACTCCTACAACTGCTTGTGATATAGCAGTTGGCAATATAAAGGTGGACCCGTGGCTTCCAAGCACTATGGCGAAAAGGCCTCTTAAAGGATGAGACCACTCCTGTGAGAGAGTTGTTGAGGAAGGCCTCAGTGGGAATGGCATCTGATCAGAGACCTGCAGGAGCAAACCAGATGGTCATATGGGAAAAGCAGTAGTCCAAACAGAGGTAACTGTGAGTGCAGAGGTCCTCAGGCCTGAGTGTTGTTTTGTGATTTTTACAGTACTAGGGATTGCACTAATGTACATACCCAGCGATTTTTTTTTTTTTTTAAATTAGAGACGGAATATCACCAAGTTGCCCAGATTGGGGTTGAATTTTTTATCTTTCTGCCTCAGCCTCCCTAGTAGTTGGGATTACAGGCAGGGGCCACTATACCTGTTGGCTGGAGCATTCTTGTTAAGTTCAGTGAAGAGCAAGGAGGCCAGTGTGTGGAAATAGAGCGAAGTAGAAACTGTGGGAGACAGAATTAGAGAACAGAGGGGCAGATCCTACAGGATCAGTCTGTGTTGAGAGTAGACTAAGTTTCACAGAGGTGAGGCTAGTGGAGTGTACAAAGAAAGTTCATGTAGAAGTCAGCCAAGAACTAGGCAGGGGAGGCTGCATGGAAACTACCAAGTGTGAAATACAGTTTTTTCCTGTGAAGAGATTTAGACTCTTCAAAAACTCATGTAGCTCCATTTAAGCTAAAGTCGGGTTAGGTCCTTATCTTTTAAACTGTAATTGTCTTTTTATTTAGGAAAAAATTAAAACAGTGAATAGCAGTAAAGGCATTCATTTTTATTTTAAAGGATTGGTTTTTGTTTTCTACTTGTAGGTACAAAAAATTTTGTAGTACATAGAATTCTATAAGGATGTAAGAAATAGTATGGTGTATTTATGTAAAATTAGAATTACCTTATAGAGAAATATTTCATATTTGCTATGTTAAGGTACTTTTAGGTTATTTTAACAAAGCAAAATCTTTTTTGTTTTTTTTTTTTGAGAACAAGAGCTTGCTATGTAGTTCAAGCTGGCCCTGCTGACCTCTAACTCATGGCAATTCTCCTGCCTCAGCCTCCAACAAAGCAAATTTTCAGAAAGACTTCTTTGTTTTGTACTAGCCAGCTAGTGAACTATTCACAGTGAAGTAGCAATATATAACATTAACTTACATTGTAAAACTTATTAGTATGTAATGTTTACATTTCTTGTGAGAAGTTAACATGTACGCAACGCATCCCAATTCTTTTTTTCATATTCCATTGCTCCCTTTTCTCCTCTGTCCATCTCTCCCCTTTGAGAAAGACCTACCTTCCTACATCTGTTACCTTTTATTTTGCTTTTTATTTTTACTTTGGGTTTCCCTTATAAGAGAAACCAAGTGATACTTAAGCATGTACTTCTGATTTATTTCACATTAAGGTCTCAAAGTGCAACCATTTTCCTGCAAATGACTCAGGTTTATCTTCATGGCAGAGTAGCACTTCACTGTGTGTAAACACCACATTTTCTTTATCTTTGATCTCTTGGTGGACATAGGGGCTGCTCCCAGGCATCAGCTATTATGAGTTGTGCTGCTATGTGTATATCACTGAGATATGTAAAACCTATTCTTGCTTTAGGAGCTCCCAGAGACTTGATTTCTTAACGGTATGTGGAAATACTCAACTAATCGTCCAAAGACTGCTCTTAATCAGGTGTTTTATTCTGCTCCACCCAGATTTTCTTCTGAATTCGATGTCTCATCATTGTCCATGAATGGACATTGTGTCTGTATCCCATCTCACCCCACCCACGTCCTGGCAGTCTGTCAAATCTCAAGGGAAGCTCTAGTTCATTCTACTTTGTGCTCCCTCATTGTGCAAACTAATGTCTTTCAGTATCATCAGTGGGATGAGGGTTTGCAGCTCAGAGATGTTGCTGTATATCCCTGTGTCCTTTTTCCTTAGAAATCCAGTAGCATTATTTTCCACCTTGTCAAGCTCTTTAAAAAGGGCCCATGAAGGCTGTTTTATGATTCCATGCTAGAACAAACCAATCGGAAGGTTGTTAGGAAAGCTGTGGAGGTGGGATGAAATGTTAGTGAAGTAGATGGACCAGAAAGAAGAGAAGAATGTGGTTAAAATTTAAAACACAACAACCAGAAAACCAACTGCTATCATTCAGCTAGTTTCTCACCGTCTCCATTTTCCCAACCTCATCAAAATGTAGTTCTGACAGGTACTATTAGGGTATTCTGCTTTCTGGAACAGGGTTGCTTAGCGTCAGCACTGTTGACACGTGGGGCTGGATTATTGGGTTGGGATGGCTTGTGCTGTCTACCCACCAAATGCCAGTTGAATCCCCTAGTTGTAAAAACTGAAAACATCTACAGAGATTGCCACCTGCACACTCAGTTCAGAACCCTTGCTCTAGAAAAAGGCTATTTCAAAGTCCTGGCTGACAGTTTCTGTAGACATTGCATTATCTTTTACCCCACCTTTCCCTTTCTTCCCACTGAGTGAATCCTGGGGGTAGGGAGAAGATATTTATGTGACAGTTGGGTCTTTGAGTAGTGGAACTGTAGTAAATGGTGTGGCATAGATGTGATATGAACTTAATCAGGGCTCTAATCCCTCTCTGCCTCACATGCCTCCAACTTTACAGAGACAGACAGCTCCAGGAGTACATCTCAGCCGTGTTACCCAGTGTGTGTTACACTTTTTGTGGCATCATCTCTTCAGAATCATGATTAGTGCCTGTTTAAGCCAGATTATGATGGTTAAGGGACTGGCAAGTCAAAACTCAGCACATAGCTTTTCCAAATTACTTCCCTATCTGAATAGTGGTATATTGGTTTTATTCAGCTTGAGTTCCTGTAGTACCTAAAGATAATTTCAGCGGTCGAGAGACTTAACTTCCCAAACTTCGATTAGCTAGGTTTTGTGTAGCATGAGAACCACCATACATTTAAAGCTGGATGTTCCAGAGGCGGATAAATGATTTTGATCTTTGCAATAGTAGTTCATTTCCTCGCTGTTCAGGAGTGGAGAATATTGGAATTCTATATAACTTGCTATCATGTAACTCTGATTCCAGCTGCATTCACTAAGAAATATGAGCAGCACAGTTAGAGTTACAGTTTGCTTCCTTTCCATATGCTGTCCTAATTTAATTTCTTGAAGTCAAAAAGTTTACTAACAACAATATCATGTTCTGAACTTACACTGTTTACTTTAATTTTTAAGCCTGCGTTTTTCCACAGAAGGACCTAAGGTAGGTCTATTAAGATTTTAAACAGAATGATAAATCATCAACAACGAGAAGAAGATCTGAACAGCAGTACAGTGCTTGAGGTTGATTTGTGGCAGAGCTCATTCAGCTTGAATTCTTCAGCAGTCGAAAGGATTGCTAGAATTGCAGAGTTGTTTTGGGAGAATTTTTTGCTTTTACTATTTTAAAATTCTTTGAGTGATAGGATTTTTTAAATGGGTCAGAGAGAGCCAGTTAAAGCAGAGAATCATAAAGGATATATATATATTTTTCCCACCAGTTATTTTGTATATCTTGATTGTAGTTTCCAAAACAGCTTAGAGACTTAAAATCAGCTCAGACTTGAAAGGAAGTGAAGAATCTTCATAATTTATATTCTCTTTTCCCAACTTTTGAACTTTTCCTCTTCATACCTGATATAGCAGCCTTTTTTTAAAGTCAGTATTTTCTGAAGTGTTTAACTTGATTCTGTCCTCTCACTTCATCAGTTTCCATAATAATTAAGGTACAGCATTAGATTAACAAATACTACTGGCACTAACAGGTTTTGAAACAAGCAACTGAAGATCAGTAAACAGTGCAGGCTGGGAGTAGAAGTACATGAGTTTCTAACTATGAGTTTTTAGTGTGTGATGGGTGCCATTCCAATTTGCTGACAGATGTTGGCGGGTTGCTGCATTGCGTAGCTCTGAGCGCTGTTCACACAGAGCTGAACATAAATAATACCTCCTCAAGTTTTGTCTGTAGCAGCCTTGGAAGTGGGGACTATGGGTTAATCTTTCCTAGTCAGAAATGGAGGATCAGTGGAAAAGAGATTAAAGCCTAAAAAAGTAAAATAGAAATTATGATTGCAGATTCATAATGTACTGTTACGTTTTTTCATAATTCCAAAACAGGTGGCCAGCCTCACAAAAGGAGAAAGACTTCTGATGCCAGTGAAACTGAAGACCACTTGGAATCTTTAATATGCAAAGTAGGAGAAAAGGTATGCGCCATGATAGGCATAGACTATGGGTTGTAGTTGTGCTTTAATTAATTTCCATAGCTGAAAACTAGATGCTCTTTAGTTTTTAGGCAAAACTTGTATTATCATGCATCCATTTCCTAAAGTGAATGCATTTTGAAACTCTTGGGATACAGATAGACTTTTTACTAATTTGTAATATTCATACATGATCTCATTTTATAAAGGACCTAAACCAGACTTGAATATTTAAGGTAATTTTCAGAGTCACACCGAGAATTAGTAAGACAGATAAAATAAACTGCATGGTATCTTTCCATCTCTTAGTACTTTCTCTACTGAGACTACTTGTTTTTAAAATTCTATTCATTCTTTTTTTCATGACTTTTTAAATTACATAACTATCTGGATTGATATGTTAACCTTTTACAGAGTTTTGTGTATTAAAAAACCTTACCTTTTAAAAAAGTTTTGTTTTTATTTTAAAGGGTAAAGAAAACAAAACAGAACAAAGCAGATCAGAAAAAAACATAAGTGACATGGATTTCAAAGCAAGACAATAGGAAATCTACAGTGGCTACCATAATGTCTCTTGTTTTCTTCTAAATAGTTGTCTATATCTTCACAAACAATAAATTTATACAAAAAAAATAGTATAAAACTTAACCAGAACAGAGTAATAAAGATATTACAGGCCTTCAGAACCAGACAATAGGAAAATCAGCACTGGGTACCGTAATGTCTGTCCATACCTTCATGTATGTTGAAATTAAACAATACAAAACAGACTAAAACCACTATGAACGAAGAATAAGAGCATTACTGGATTTCACAGCATCATGATGTGGAATCAGCAATGGATACCATAGTGTCTCTTTTTCTTCTTGTATAACATAGTTGCTTCTCGTAAACTGTTTAGGAAAAGTTCTAGGCAATTATAAGCCTCTACATGTATACTTATCCTGCCTGTGTTAGAGGGAAAAACAAAACAGATTACTAGAAAAACAAGAAACAGAAAAGACAATGACAATAGCAAAGAGCCCCAAACAGTGACAGTATAGGCCTTCAAAACAAGGTGGTAGGAACAGAACTAAGATTGTTATTTTACATAGTGATCTTTAGGAGTTCCTCAGATCACCAGACACAGATTTGTTCTAATCCTGTGAATAGTAACTGTTTTGTTCCAAAAACGTATAGAATTTGTAGCACAGTTATTTTAGTTATCCTGTGTGTTATAAAATTTAGATATTTTTTCTTTTCCCTTTTTCTTTTTCCTCTTTTCTCCAAGATACTGTTTTTTCCCCTTTTGAGCAGATTCTTGCCCTTTCACTGTACTTATTGAGGATTTTTTTATCTTATGTATTTTTACCATTTCTTACATTAGGGAGACAATATGCTATTTATACATGTGGAAAAAAAGCTTAACTTTTTATAGTTATCTGGAAATTTTTTTTTTTTTTTATTTTTTATTTATTTTTTTTTTTTCCTTTTTATTGTACTGGGGATCGAACTCAGGACCACCTACTTGCAAGGCAGGCGTTTATGCCGCTGAGCTAAATCCCCAGCCCTGGAAATTTTTATTTTAATTAACTCATCACCAAGTACTTGACTGATTTTTAATATATTATCTTCTATAGAGTGCCTGCTCTTTGGAGAGCAATCTAGAAGGTTTGGCTGGTGTTTTGGAAGCTGATCTTCCTAACTACAAGAGCAAGATCTTAAGGCTTCTTTGTACAGTGTATGTATGCAAAAGATTTATGAATCCAGGTGATAATGTATTATCTACTCTTAAATGCTTGGGGAAATGTTTAAAATGTATGTTTATGTTCATTCATCATTGGTTTTCTTCCCCTCTATCAGAAAATTCCTACAAATGACATGACATTTGACCTTTGATAAACTCTTTTAGAGGTGAATAAGACTGAAATTGAGCTTTTCCCATAGGTTTTCTTACAAGTTTAGAATCATTTGCATTGATTTTTTTAAATGAAGAAGTAGATATGTTTTCATTTGAAATCTTTTTCTTTTTTAAGTACGTACATTTAAATGTATAGAGTTTAGCTTTCTTTAACTAGTATTGCCAAACGAATTTGAGACCTGGCAACTCCAGTTAATAGCCTTTAGTGGAAGATTAAAAATGTTTTTAATGCTGTTAATGATCTTCTAAGTTATGTTATTTCAGTTACTTTGAAATAATTTTTCTAATTCTTGAAACTCATTTTTGAAATTTAAAACTATATACAAAGTGAAACTATTAAGTTTCATTCTAACTTCTTATAAGTGCAGCTGATTTGTTTTCAAATTTTAGAAGAAATCCAGTTAACATTCAGGAAAATTTATTTTTGACTAAAAAACTTAAGGAAAATCATTTCGCTATAGTTATTCATAAGATATTTTCTGATTTGAAAGCAACATTTTTAGTTAAACTTTGTTGGAAGCCATGTGTATTTGTTTAAGGCTGGGCTGATACTGCTTAGCAGTGTTCTTCTTTAATTTTAGTTTTGGGAGAGATTCAGGAAGCGTGGTTGACTGTCAGTGCGAGTGTTTTCTAAAGACCTAAATTGTCCCTCATCCTTTGCCAGATGCCCTAGGAACACAAAAAGTACAATGAGAGAAACCCTTCCCTACTGAATCACCATGAAATCTTGCTTTTCTTTTTGAAGAATTTTCTAAAGGCTTCCTTAATTAGGATGTAACATTTGCTTTCTTTTAAAGGGAGGTTTATTATCTCTTTCTCTACTTTTGAAATAACTTTAATGAAATTCACACTTGGAGTAAGTAGCTGGGATATAACCGAATTGTAACTGTGTCAGGGTACTCTATTAAGAATTTAGCAGTTAACCGATAGGAACACAGTTGAAGCTGGTTTTAATTCTTTTACTTTGCTTAAAGTGAAATTCTGGCCTTGTGAGTTTAGTTAGCTAAGTTTAATAACTTGGAATGCTCTTACTTCCCTTTCAGTTATTTTGCACTAAAGAAATCCAATACTCCTGAGAGATTTAGGGAAGCCATTTTCACAGCGCTGCTGTTCACATTTGAAGAAAAACTGTCTAGCATTAGTTATATTTATCTGAGTGTGATAATGTCATAATTAAACTTTTCCTGTCTTAATACTTTAGATAAGTTTAAGCAGAATGAAAAATTGTAGAAATTGTATCACTTCTCAGTGACATGCATACTTTTTTGAAGTTGTTTTAAAAATCATAGTTAAAAGTAATCTTGTTCTAAAGTTACTGGGATGATAAAATGTTATATAAAATTCAACAGTTTAACATAATGCCATTTTTTTTTTTTTAATTTTTTTTGGGGGGGTCGGTTGAATGGGTTTTCAAATCAGCGCACGTCTGTTACCTGAGAAGTTGACAATTTATACAACGTTAGTTGGACTCTTGAATGCCAGGAATTACAACTTTGGTGGAGAATTTGTGGAAGCCATGATTCGCCAACTTAAGGAATCATTGAAGGCAAACAATTATAATGAAGCTGTATATTTGGTAAGTTATTATTACCCAACCCAGTGGTTTGATTTTGCTCTGAATCCTAGTCAGCCTCCCTGTACCATGTGATAATTTCTGTTAGTTTTCTCCTTTGGTTTCTGCAGACCTTTTTTTTTTTTTCCCTAAAACTCCCTACTCTCCATACCTCCTGGTCCTCAGCCTCTTTTACTGGGTTATCTTCCTTTGCCCTTCAAATGTTTGTGTTTCTAATGTTTGTACTCCCTTTCCTTTAAACATTATCTTCTGAAGCATCCTCATTCATTCTCGTAACTTCTTAATCCAACTTTATTTTGATGATGCCTGCCTAGTTATAATTGTATTATCAACTATAGCCTTTTTCCCGGAGTTCCAGACCTGTATTCCAAATTCTACCTGCGTACTCCTATACTTAGGCATCCCTAAATTGATGTGTTATTTATACCTCTTTCCCTTCTTTCCTCTCCCCAAGTCACTCATCCTGTCCTACATAGTGGGCAACCCATCTAGAAACCTAAGTGTTAGTTTTTTTCTTCCCTTTGGATCCCTGCACCATAAGTATCTCCAAGTCCTGTCGGTTATATGTCCTAAATTCTCTGAAATCTGTCCAGTATAGTTCATACCTTTTTCCTCACGTTCTTAACAACCTCTTAACATGTGATTTTATATCTCAGTTCTCTGCCTGTCACTTTTTCTTCTACAGTGACATCAGAATGCCTGTGACTAGGCTCTGTTCATATTGGTTACTGGTTAAAAACCTTAGTTTCTCCCGGTTTCTAGAGTTGAGTGGTGGTATTAAAAACCCTGTCTACAAAATGACACATTTGAGTTATAGGAAATAAGTATTAGACCTTTCATTAATCTTGACTGAAAATGAAATTAATCCTTACTAGCAATACATACATTGGTAATGATCTAACGTATATCATACAGCCTGGACCCTTTAGCTTGCCCCTTCATAGTTGCTCCAGTCTGTTTTTCTGTCCTTGCCTCCCATACGCTCTCCACTGTATTAAAATGACTTGTAGTTAAACCCCTCTGCCTAGGATGCCCTCCTTGCTTACTACTTGAGAAGTACTTTGCTCATTTTTTATGACCTAAGGCAGTTGTTACCCCCTTTGTGACGCTCTCATTTGTTCTCTTTGATATTATTCCTAGGGTACTTTTTAATTTACCTTTTAGTATTGGGTCATGCCTTTGTGTTGAGATTGTATTTTTCCAAAAGTCCAAAGACTTTTTAATTTACCTTTTAGTATTGGATCATGCCTTTGCGTTGAGAGTGTATTTTTCCAAAAGACTGTGAATCTCTGTAACAAGGCCTTTAGTGGTACATAGCAGTTACACACAAAGGACATCCAGTAAATATCTGTTCTGTAACATCCGTTCTGTAGTGTAATGCAAATTATCCACAGTTAAAATAGGCTGAATTTTAGGTTGAAGTAGCCAGGCTATTTTGCAGTCTAGATTCTTATTGTATGATAGCATGGAAATCCATAGGTTCCTGTTCATCAAAGGATCTGTGTTGCAACTTCTCAGCTCCCACCATTGTGACACAGAAGTGACCATAGTTAATAAACCAAATGGACATGGTTGTGTTTCAGTAAAAGTTTACAGATGGCTACTGAAATTTGAATTTCTTGTAATTTATATGAATCAAAAAGTTTTTTCAGCCAGAAATATAGCTCAGTGGCACAAGTGGCCAAGTGGTTGCATGGCAAGTATGAGGTTGTGAGTTCAATCCCCAGTACAAAAATTTTAAAAAATGCAAGCATTAAAATGCTTAAACCCATTTTTGATTCATAAGATGTGTGAAAATAGTAGGGTAGATTCAGCACCTGGGCTATAGTTTTTCAAATCATGGTTTAGACCATTCGCAGGTTGCTTATTTTGTAATTATTATGAAGGACATTTAATAGCAGAAGTTGTTTGTTTCAACAGGTTCGTTTTTTATCTGATCTTGTGAATTGTCATGTGATTGCTGCCCCATCAATGGTTGCAATGTTTGAAAATTTTGTAAGTGTAGCTCAGGAAGAAGATGTACCTCAGGTAAGAGGATCATTTATGCCGAATACTATCCAGTAGTATTGTATTAGGAATTTTCCACAAATAGGTCTTTAGCAATAAACAAAAGATAATAGATTATCATACTATTAATGATTAATACTAAAGGTAAGTAAACTAGCATACTGATGGGTTCTTTTGACATCTGTATGTTAACTCAATTGATACTGTCTAATAAGATTAGAGTTAGTACATCTGGAAGTGCTCTGAATGAGCCAGATATCTTGTTTAAGCTGTTTAGTAGCTCCCACGGGATTTCATTTAAGAATATATAAAATATGATGAAAACTGAATAGCACACATTTTTTTTTTTTTTTTTTTTTTTTTTTTATTTAAGAGGAAAAAGAGAAAAACACAAAACAAACCAAAGCGGCGTAAGGGTACACGCAATACAGAACTACAAAACAAAATAAAACAAAACAAAACAAAAAACCATAACAGTAAGAAATTACCTGCTAGTAGATTACACACTATTTTCTTGAAAATAGTTCCTCAAATCACAGTATCAAAGAACACAAGGTGGACATTCAAACAGGGAGACTGCAAACAGCTGTGTTCAATGTTCCAAAAACATTGATAAAGTCAGCTATTTAACACCCCCAAACACACTTGCTGTTATATCCGTTAGAGCTCCTTTTCTTTTTTTTTTTTTCCCTCTCTTTTTTACAACAAAATTTACACATCTTGGATTTTATTACTCCTTAGTGCTTATTACTTTCTTTGGGGGGGGGGAAGAATACAGTCAAATATGGCAAAACAAAGCTGTCAGTCAATACCAAGGATAGACGTAGCACATGGTGTAGAACAGAGTACAAGTTTATCAACAGTGGTTATCAACGTTGTCCCTTGTTTCCTTAAAAAGAATTGTCCATCTTATTAGATATTATAAAGTTGGACAAAACAGTAGAGAACAAGACCAATAAAACTTAGGCGTTGTAAACATTACAGGACTTCCAAAGAAGACAATAGTCAAACCAGAATGGGTATCTTAGTGAATCTTATTGTCTTCAAAGTAGTTGCCTATGTCTTCAAACTTGATACTATCATATAGAATGGAACAGAGTCTAATCAGTCAAAACAAGATCGTGGGAGTACTACAGGACTTCAAAACAAGTTAATAGGAAATCGAAAAGAGTTACTATTTATATATCCTAATTTTTTTGAATTTTTTCTTTAATTAAGACAAACATAAGAAATGACTAAATAATTTTTTTTTTGAAACAATAAGGGGGAGATTGAGATAAAACAGGACATAACAATATAACAATAGAGGTCACAGCATGACTGTTTCAATAACCTAGTACTTCACCACCTTATAACCTGACTTAATAGTAGTTACCATAGTGTCTTTTTCCTTGAAATATTTGGGTAAAACTTCATATACTCTAGCTTCAAATATTTTCATATCAAGAAGCCCAGAATAAAGCCTTTCTAATTAATGAGTGAAAACTTTATAAGGCTTCAAGGCCACCTAATGGGGAATCATGATTACCACATATTTTTATATATTTGAATCATTACTTACGTTAGGGAAACTATTCGGTATTCACACATGCGAGATTGATTTATTTCACTTATGAGTATGGTCTCAAGCTGTGCCCATTTATTGATAAATATCTCAATGTGATCCTTCTTTATAGCTGAATAATACTCCATTGTATAGAAATACCACAACTTTTTTATCCATTCCTCAGTTGATGGGCACTTGGGTTGTTTCCAAGATCTGGCGATTACAAATTGTGCTGCTATAAACATAGGTGCACATATATCACTGTGGTATGATGCTTTCAGTTCTTCTGGGAATATGCCTAGAAGTGGAATAGCTGGAATAAATGGGATTTCCAGTCCCAACTTTTTGAGAAATCTCCAGACAGATCTCCACAAAGGCTGTACCAGTCTACACTCCCACCAGCAGTGCAGGAGAGTTCCTTTTTCCCCACAGCCTCTCCAGCATTTGTTGTCGGTTTTCTTGATCCTGGCCATTCTTTCAGGAGTGAGATGGTATCTCAGTGTGGTTTTAATTTGCATTTCTCTAATGACCAATGATGATGAGCATTTTTTCATGTATTTATTTGCCATTTGCATTTCTTCATCTGAGAATTGCATATTCATCTCAGATGCCCATTTTTGGATTGGATCTTTGAATTTCGGAGGTCTGAGTTTCTTTAATTCTTTATATGTTTTAGACAAGAGGCCCTTGTCTGAGAGAGAGTTCACTAAAATCTTTTCCCAGTTTGTGGGTTTTCTTTTCACTATGCTGGAGATTTCTTTTGACATGCAGAAACTTTTTAATAAGAAGTGGTCCCAGTTATTGATTCTGGGAAGTATTTCCCGTGCGGTTTGAGTCCTGTTCATGAATTCTTTACCTACTCCTATGTCTCCAAGGTTTCTACCTATTTTGTCTTCCAATAGATTTAGTGTTTCTGTTTTAATATTCAGATCTTTGACCCATTTACATTTTAATTTAGTACATGGTGATAGACATGGGTCTAGCTTTAGTTTTCGGCAAATGGAGAGCCAGTTTTTCCAGCACCATTTATTAAAGAGACTGTCGTTCTTCCAGTGAACCTGCTTGGCTCCTTTATCAAAAATAAGGTGGTTGAGTGTGTTCGTAGTTGTGGTTGTATCTTCTAATCTATTCCACTGATCTTCAGCTCTGTTTTGATTCCAATACCATGTTGATTTTACTACTGTTGCTTTGTAGTATAACTTCAAGTCAGGGATTGTGATGCCTCCTGCTTTGTCTTTGCTGCTTAGAATTGCCTTTGCGATTCTAGGTCTCTTCTGGTTCCAGATGAAATTTAGGAGTGATTTCTCTAGATCTATAAGGTATGTTGATGGTATTTCTATTGGGATTGCATTGAATCTGTATAACAGTTTTGGGAGAATGGCCATTTTCACAATGTTTGTTCTTCCTATCCATGAGCAAGGGATGTCTTTCCATTTTCTGAGATCATCTTCAATTTCCTTTTTCAGTGTATTATAATTTTCACTGTATAAGTCTTTCACTTCTTTCGTAAGAGTAATTCCTAAATATTTCATTTTTTTGCTTGCTAATGTGAATAGTCCAGTTTCTCTTATTTCCCTCTCTGTAATTTTGTTGTTCGTGTATAGGAATGCTATTGATTTCTGAGTATTGATTTTGTATCCAGCCACATTACTGAATTTATTTATTGTATCTAAGAGTATTTCAATGGAGTTTAGGGGGTCTTCTATGTAGAGTATCATGTCATCTGCAAACAATGATAATTTAACTTCTTCTTTTCCTATCTTTACCCCTTTTATTTCTCTTTCTTGCCTAATTGCTCTGGCTAGTACTTCCAGTACTATATTAAATAGGAGTGGTGATAAAGGACATCCTTGTCTTGTACCCGATTTTAAAGTAAAGGCTTTCAATTTTTGGCCATTTAGTATGATGCTGGCTGTTGGTTTGTCATAAATGGCCTTTATTATATTGAGGTAGAGACCATCTATTCCAATTTTCTGTAAAGTTTTTATCATGAATAAATGTTGGACCTTATCGAAGGCTTTTTCTGCATCTATAGAAATGATCATGTGATTCTTATTTTTGGCTTTATTGATATGGTGGATTACATTTATTGATTTGCGTATGTTGAACCATCCTTGCATTCCTGGGATGAATCCCACCTGGTCATGGTGTATAATCTTCTTGATGATTTGCTGGATCCTATTTGCCAATATTTTATTGAGGATTTTTGCATCTGTGTTCATTAGGGAGATCGGTCTATAGTTCTCTTTTATAGTTGGGTCTTTCTCAGGTTTTGGTACTAGAGTAATATTTGCTTCCAGGAATGACTTAGGAAGGATTGCTTCCCTTTCAATTTCATTGAATAGTTTGAGGAGTGTCGGCATTAGGTCTTCTTTATATTTCTTGTAGAATTCTGCAGTGAATCCATCTGGGCCTGGGCTCTTCTTGGTGGGCAAGGACCCAATTACATTCTCAATTTCATTAGCAGAGATTGGGTTATTCAACAGTTTTATATCCTCTTGATCTAGCTTTGGTACTTCATATGCTTCTAAGAATCTGTCTATTTCTTCTGTGTTATCAAACTTTTGAGAGTAGAGGTTTTCGAAATAGGTGTTGATGATCCTCTGTATTTCTATTGGGTCTGTAGTGATTTCTCCTTTTTCATTTCTTATTGCATGAATTTGAGCTTTTTCTTTCCTTTTTTTAATAAGGTTGGCTAGGGGCTTATCGATTTTATTTATTCTTTCAAAGAACCAACTCTTTGATTTGTTGATTCTTTGGATTGTTTTCTTAGTCTCTATTGCATTGATTTCTGCTCTGATTCTTATAATTTCCTCTCTCCTTTTGGCTTTGGGCTTGACTTGCTCTTCTTTTTCTAGCTGTTTGAGGTGTAGCATCAAGTTATTTACTTGTATTCGTTCTGTTTTCCTGATGTGGGAACTCAGTGCAATAAATTTTCCTCTCAGAACGGCTTTCATTGCATCCCACAGATTCCGGTAAGTTGTATCTGCATTTTCATTTTCTTTTAGGTATTGTTTAATTTCTTCTTTAATTTCTTCTGTGACCCACTGATTACTCAAGCGTGTGTTATTTAGTTTCCATGTGTTTGCGGAATTTTTGCAGTATCCTTTGTCATTAATTTCTAATTTCAGAGCGCTATGATCCGATAATATGCAAGGGATGATTTCAACTCTTTTGCATTTGCTTAAATATGTTCTGTGAGCTAATATATGGTCTATTTTAGAAAATGATCCATGTACTGCTGAGAAGAATGTGTATTCTGATGTTGTTGGGTGGAACATTCTGTATATGTCTATCAAACCCATTTGTTCACAGGTGTGATTCAGTTCTGTTATTTCTTTGCTCATTTTCTGTCTGGTTGATCTGTCCCTTGGTGTCAGTGGTGTATTAAGGTCTCCTGTTACAATTGTGTTACTGATAATTTGAGTTTTCATTTCTGTTAATAATTGTTTTATATAACTGGGTGCTCTGGAGTTTGGTGCGTATATATTTAAGATAGTTATCTCTTCCTCTTGGAGTTTTCCCCTTACGAGTATGTAGTGACCTTCTTTGTCCTTTATGGTCATTGTTGGTTTAAAGTTCACGTTGTCTGCAAACAGAATGGCTACTCCTGCCTTTTTTTGGATTCCTGCTGCATGGAGAATTGTTTTCCATCCTTTGACTTTCAGTCTGTGAGTATCTTTCTGGGTTAGATGGGTTTCCTGTAAACAGCATATGGTTGGATTTTGTTTCTTGATCCATTCTGCTAGTCTGTTTCTTTTGATTGGTGCATTGAGACCATTTACATTAATGGTTATTACTGTTAAATGCTGGTTAATTGTAGGAATGTTATCTCTCTGCTGTTGCATCTTTATCTTTCGGTTCTGTTTAATTATTTGCTTTGCTTAGTGGTTTTTTCCTTTGTGTATCTAAACTGTCTTTCAATATTTTTTGCAGGGTTGGTTTGGTGTTCATGAAGTTCTTCAGCTGTTCTTTGTCATGGAAGTATCGTATTGCACCATCTATTTTGAATGATAGTTTTGCAGGATATATCAGTCTTGGTTGGAAATCATTTTGCTTTAGGATCTGGAATACTTCACTCCATGCTCTTCTTGACTTTATCGTTTGTGCTGAGAAGTCTGCTGTGATTCTGATAGGTTTTCCTTTATAAGTGATTTGTCTTTTCTCTCTGACAGCTTTTAATAATCTATTCTTGTGTTGGATTTCTGGGATGGTGACTATTATATGTCTGGGTGTAGTTTTATTTTGGTTATGACTGTTTGGAGTTCTATATGCTTCACTGATCCTGATGTCAGTTTCTGATCTCATGCTTGGGAAATTTTCAGCTATTACTTCTCTAAATATCCTCCTGACATCCTTCATGTTGTCTCCCTCTCTTTCATTAATCCCTATCATTCTTATGTTATTCTTCTTTGCATCGTCTTGCAGTTGTTGAATTGTTGTTTCCTGGTTCCTTGTTATTTTCAAAAGATCTTTCCTTTCCTGTTCACTAGCTGCAATCCTGTCTTCAAGGTCTGAAATTCTATCTTCACTTTCATTAAGGCGGTTTTTACAACTTTCAGTGGAGTTTTTTATTTCCTGTATATCTCTGTGCATCTGCATTATGTATTCTGTTTGTTTCTTATATTGCTCGTCTAGGGATTCTATCTTTTTGTTTAGTTCCTCCAATTTTTTATCTGTGTTTTCTTTAGATATATTTAGAATCTCTTTCATTTCTTTTATCATTTCTTCTTTTATCTGGGAGATTATTTCGAGTTTGAATTTCTTTAAAGCTTCCTGGAGTTGCTTGTCAATTTCAGTGGCTATTGTGTCCGATATATGAGGTGGATGGGATATATTTTCTTCTATATACATCGCTCCTAGGGTTTCTTGAGATGGGCTGGAGGTTTCAGGTTGTAATTTGGTCTTTCGTTTTGTCATTTTCCTATATTTCTGTGTTTCAAGTGTTACTTGAAAGCTTCCTCAGGATCTGTTGAAAATCCCCTTCTATGTTTGGAGCTACTGGGACTCTGGCGCCGCGCTACTCCAAGCCATTAGGCCTACAGAACCAGTGGCCCTCCTCTGCCTGCTCAGAACTCCGCAGTTCCAAATAAGCTGGGCCTCAGGGACACTGTGCGCCCACCTGCCCCTTGGAAGCTCCACAGTTCTTCAATCGCAGCCGGGTTAGGGTACTCACCACAGGCCGCAGTGCTTCAGGAACCTGTGGACCCTCCCTGGTTGCAGAGATATCCACAGTCCTCCAGACACGCAGAGAGGCCAGTGAGGGCACCCCAGATCTGCCTAGCTCCTCCTCTGCAGACCTGTGGCCAGGCGCGGCAGCTAAACAGGCTGGGCTAGGCTGGTAGTGTGGGCCAGCCCACCTATCGGGAGCTCAGCAGGTCTCCAAATGAAGCCGGGAATGGGGAGGCTGATGTGGAAGCCTTAAACCCACCTCTCTCCTTCACTGCACCTGGAAGCCTGAGGGAACTCCAGCAGTCTGGGCGCAAAAATCCAGAGTCCTCCAGACACGCAGAGAGGCCAGTGAGGGCACCCCAGATCTGCCCAGCTCCTCCTCTGCAGACCTATGGCCAGGCGCGGCTGCTAAACAGGCTGGGCTAGGCTGGTTGTGTGGGCCAGCCCACCTATCGGGAGCTCAGCAGGTCTCCAAATGAAGCCTGGAATGGGGAGGCTAATGTGGAAGCCTCAAACCCACCTCTCGCCCTCACTGCACCTGGGAGCCTGAGGGAACTCCAGCAGTCTGGGCGCAGAAATCCAGAGTCCTCCAGACACGCAGAGAGGCCAGTGAGGGCACCCCAGATCTGCCCAGCTCCTCCTCTGCAAACCTGTGGCCAGGCGCGGCAGCTAAACAGGCTGGGCTAGGCTGGTAGTGTGGGCCAGCCCACCTATCGGGAGCTCAGCAGGTCTCCAAATGAAGCCTGGAATGGGGAGGCTGATGTGGAAGCCTTAAACCCACCTCTCTCCTTCACTGCACCTGGAAGCCTGAGGGAACTCCAGCAGTCTGGGCGCAGAAATCCAGAGTCCTCCAGACATGCAGAGAGGCCAGTGAGGGCACCCCAGATCTGCCCAGCTCCTCTGCAGACCTGTGGCCAGGCGCGGCCGAATAGCACACATTTTAACTTCCCTTTTTGAAATTGTTTCAGGTGCGACGAGATTGGTACGTGTATGCATTTTTGTCGTCTTTACCCTGGGTTGGAAAGGAGTTGTATGAAAAGAAAGATGCAGAGATGGACCGCATCTTTGCCAACACTGAAAGCTATTTTAAGTAAGGGCAGAGCTCATACTACTCTTTGTTATTTAGTAAAGGGTATCTTTATAATAAGTGTTAGATTTTACAGTAATACCATTTGAATTGCATTCTCAAAAAAGTGGTAGAGTTCTTAAAGATATTTCTCTAGGTAATCCCATTCTGTTACTGTTAGAACTCACTGAGACATAAAGATGAACAAAAAACTGCATTATACATGTCTAAAACTGCATTTATATATGCAAAACACTCCCTTATATAGTAGCTCCTTAAATATTAGTACAAAGAAGTTACCTATGGTACATGAATGCTCAGACTGCAACCCCTACACCAAACGTATTACATTGTTTAAGGAAAAAGCTCTGAGCATCTGTATTACTAGAATATTCTGCAAGTGGAGAACCACTGTCCTAGCACATTTATTTTGTATAAATTAATCCTGATCCAAACCCTTAAACTAGTGTTCATCTAATGTTTCATCTTATTCATGCTTCTTAGGAAATACAACATTTTAATTAAAATAGTCACATATCTGCCCACTACCTACCTCAAGCCATTGTAAAGATTTTTTTTATCTTGTTGGATGTAGTGTCAATAACAGGCTTTGTAGTAAACATCTACTCAGTTAACCAGTAGCAGGGTAATTATACATCCTTTATGTTTTTACAGATTGACTTTGTTGTATCATTTTTCGCCTATTTATAAGTACTTTTTGAATACTGTTAATATTTGTTTTGTTGGTTACTAGTTTAAAGAATTTTACAGGTAAAAATCTTACATGTGTATATGTATAATTCCATCTTTTTTATATATAAATGGAAGCCCAATATATCTACTGCCACTTTTTTATTCTTACTATAATTTGTTATGTTGTATACAGTATATATCTCTAGCTCATTCTTTTTTCTTTTTTTTCTTTTTTCTATATTTCTCCCCCAAAGTAGGAGGATTTTTTTTTTATTAAACTTAGACGCACATACACAGTATAGAGAAAGGGGTAGCTTACTTTTAATAGTAGTATGGTATTTCGCTGTTTTAATGTACCATGGTTGCTTAGTTTCCTGTTGGTAGACATTTAGGCCATTCTAATTTTTAGCTATTATAATATAGCCCTAGGGGCTGGGGATTTAGCTCAGCGGCATAAGCGCCGGCCTTGAAAGCAGGCAGTCGTGAGTTCAATCCCTGGTACCGATAAAAAAACGAAAAAGCCAAAAAAAAAAAAATAATAATAATAATAATAATATAGCCCTAGGTTAGTGAGTATTCTTTTATGTGCTTATATACTTATTTTTGTTTATATATGAAAATATATTTATGGAGGAATGTGAATTCTTACAAATGACATTGTAGGGTTGAAGGTCCCAAACTGCTTAAATTTTGATAAGATTTAGTCACATTGCCTTCCAAAGAGATTATACCAATTAGCCCCATTGCTAACAAAAGGCTGCAGATTGATATATAAATGATAATATATAATATGGTATAAAAAGGTGATACTTGCTGATGTGATAGGTAAAAATGTTATTGCTTTAATCTATATTTGATTAATTATTAAAACTAAGCATCTTCATCATTTTCTTTTCATGATGTTAAAAGCCTAAATATAGATTTTCATTTTTATATTTAGAAGACGCCAAAAGACCCATGTGCCCATGTTACAAGTATGGACTGCTGATAAACCACATCCACAAGAAGAGGTAAATTGATTTCAAATTGATACAAACAGCTCTTGAGTAGATTCTTGTCTGTGTAACTCATTCAGACCATTCATTTGTACATCTTCACTCCATTTCCATATAACCTGTCAGGAATTCAACTCTTTATTGCCATAGACATACAGAGTATTTAGTAAATAGAATGTAATTACAGCATTCCCTTGTTCTGTGAGATCCTAGTTATCACCTGCCTGACATTTTTTTAATATCCAACCTGAAAAATATAAGAGGTTAAAAACTCCCTACAGATTTATAAAGCAAAGGGTGGGCACAATGGTGTATTCCTGTAATCCTAGCTACTCAGTAAACTGACTCAGGAGAATGGCAAATTCAAGGCAGACCTGGCCAACATAATGGAACCCTGGTACAAAAAAACAGTACAAAAATCAGTACCATTCTTTTTTACTGTGTGTAATTGTAAGTTAGTTTAAATGTGTATTGTGTGTTTTAGAGAGTAACAATTTGTGGTTTTGTCTAGGCAAAATGTTATTTACATTAATTATTAAAAATTAATCTGTGTTTAGTATTTAGATTGCCTCTGGGCCCAGATCCAGAAACTGAAAAAGGACCGCTGGCAGGAGCGGCACATCCTCAGACCTTATCTTGCCTTTGATAGCATCCTCTGTGAAGCACTGCAGCATAATCTGCCCCCTTTTACACCGCCACCCCACACGGAAGATTCAGTGTACCCGATGCCGAGGGTTATCTTTAGAATGTTTGATTATACAGATGATCCTGAGGTATGATAAGTGACCAACTGAAAGTTCTATCTAAGCCTACCTTATCTTTAGAATGTTTGATTATACAGATGATCCTGAGGTATGTGACCAACTGAAAGTTCTACCTAAGCAGGTTGATGGCAGTGAAGTTTAACTTTTTACATTAGTAATCGATGTCACCTTGATATGCAAGAAATGATATATTTACATATATAAATAGATTAGGGGGATGGGCTAACATACATATCAAGAAGAGTATAAGAACCACATTGGATTCTGTTTTAATCCTGGGTTAGCAAAATACTGTCTGTAGGATCTTTTATTATTTACTTCTGTGTTAGATTCCTTAGAGACATAGTAGTATGTATCTCGTACTGTCTTCAGGAGAATTAAACTATTAACACAAAATATAGAGGACCACATATCTGCTGTCGGGTGGAGGCTTAATTTAGCTGTGAAGGTAGGCAAAGATAGTATGATAGTATGTTACCAGCTGCATCGAGAAACACAACTGATTTTGCTGTAGCTATGTGAGCATAACAATGATATTTTCTTAAGTGCAGAATTTGACAGTGTTGAACTTTTACCCCTACCTCATAATACAGCACCTGAAACATAATAGACTCTAATATTTTTAAATAAGTGAGCTGCTTTCTAGATCCCTGTGTGTACCTCTGGTTTATTTGCAGGGTCCTGTGATGCCAGGGAGTCACTCAGTGGAAAGGTTTGTGATAGAGGAAAACCTCCACTGCATCATTAAGTCACACTGGAAGGAAAGGAAGACCTGGTGAGTTGCTTTTCGTAGCGTTTGTGGAGGGGAAAAAGCGATTTGCTGAATTGGTAGAGCAAATGTGCATTAAGTGTGCAGCAGTCCTTCATTCTGTCCTGACCCCTGCTTTGCTAATACTTGATTTACTGTCAAGGCTCTTTGCCCTCAAGTAGCACTTTTTCGGGTGCTTTATGATAGTGTCTTTGATGTCAGTTTTTTTAGTGGATATTTGTCATATATTATGAAAGATTTTTCAGTGGCAAGTTATTTTGGGTTTGGATGTTTGGGAATAAAAAAACACTTTGGTTCTGTTAGACCTTGGAAATTTTGGGGTTACATATTAAAGTAGAAAGGAATACAGTATTTTGGTAGTTGATACCCCTTTTAAAACTTGTTGAATTAGTAGATCTGACTGTTGCTTCCTTAGTTTCATTTTCTTATAGTACACAAGATAATTTATGCCACAGTTAAGTAATCAAAATTTAGAACATTTCAGAAAAAGATTTCTGTGTATCTAAACACACTGCTGTTGAGACTGATGATTTGATTTCTCTCTTTGCTTATTAATTATACCTTCATAGTGCCGCACAGCTAGTGAGCTACCCAGGGAAGAACAAGATCCCCTTGAACTACCACATAGTTGAGGTACGCATTCCAGGCGGTGCATGTTTCTGAATTTCACAGTCTTTGTTACTTTAACATGTAATATACTCTTGGCTTATTTTTTTTTCTTGCTACCTGTCAGGCATTGAAAATTAACAGAGGAGTGAGGAAAATGCTGTCACTTTTGGTGCTCTGTTAGCCATGTTAGTAAAGAAAAAACAGGAGGTTGAGACCAGTAGCCAAATGGAATTTTGAGTTGCCTATAAATTACTTACATAGTGTGCCTTCATTCATGGATAGTTACCATGGATAATGTAAGTTACTCTAGCCCTGTCAGTACATTGTCCACTTAACAGGTGCCTAAGTGATTAAAATACTTTAAAATACTCTGTTACTTTGAGAGTAACATCTTTAACCCATGTCTGTCTGGCCTCTTATTACTGGCACATACTTTTCTAGTATATTGTTTCCTATAATACAAAGTAGAAATAAATACTTACATAGTCCTAGAAATCAAAAGAGCCAAGTAGTTTAAAACAGGAAGAATAGAAATGCTTTTGTCCCTGTAATGAGACAAGAGGATGATGCTTATAATATGGTACCTTGATAGTGTAGACCTTGAAGAAATTAGATCACAAAAAAATGTTTCCATTCAACAAGAGTCAAGCTGTTAACTGCATTATTTATGTTACAATATTCATGAGAGAGCATAGTGTAGTATATTATTTAAGGTACACATTTTATTCATGTAGCACTTTTTAAAATACTTTTTTTAAAAGTACTGTACCTGTCTTATTTTTATAAAACATAAGAGTATGTTTATACTATGAAAGTCCCTTATTGACCTGTCAGTTAAATTTTTATTTATTTATTTATTTGTCATTTTGAGATAGGGTTTCACTATGTAGTTTAGGCTGGTCTTGAACTCACTTTGTAACTCAGGCTGGCCTCGAACTCACAGGTATCCTTCTGCCTCCGCCCCCTGAGTACTGGGATTACAGGTATGTTTTACCATGCCTGGCTTGACATGTCAGTTGAAAAGCAAAAATGAATTATTAAATCTTCAAAGTGTACAGTTTCATCAGACTGAAGTACAAGAGTTTGAGAAGAGAGAGTAAAAGAATGCAGAGCAGGGCTTTAGAGTTCTAGATTGATGGTCTGCAAGTTGCTGAACAAGAGACACGACAGGTCTCAGACTCTCAGAATGCTGTCTCTCTTTCTCATTCTCAGAGACTAAAGGTTACTGTTAGTTTTAAGAATCAAACTCTTAGTGAGTTGTTGAGTTGCTCAGTAAACTGTGTTGCTGAATCAGTCTGATAGTTCAGAGTTGGAAATATTTTTGTTGGGAATATGGGTCCAAAAAGCATTAATCCTACGTGATTTTATTTGATTGAGTAGAGAGAAAAAACTCATTAGGTATTCAGTTACAGAAAGTACTGTAGTTGGTTTTTCATTACCAAAGCCCTGGAGTTACACATCAGGTTTATAATGTTAAGGTCTTTCTAGGAGTAGGCACACAGTAATAATACTTGAATTGAGTTCTGACTCTCAATTCTTTTGCAGGTGATCTTTGCAGAGCTGTTTCAGCTTCCAGCACCCCCTCACATTGATGTGATGTATACAACACTTCTCATTGAATTGTGCAAACTTCAGCCTGGCTCTCTACCCCAAGTTGTATCCTTTCTTTTCATTTTAAATTTATACTTCAGTCTAGATTTAAAAGATTATTAAATATGTGAGATACCTTAACATTTTTGTTATTTTATTTCCCTAAGCTTTAGGTTTAGGAAGAGTGGTTCTGATTTGATTTAGGGTGACAGTGAAGTATTATTATTTATAAGACAGACTGAAACACCCATTGAAAACTTAACACATAGCACCTCCCCAATAGGAAACAGAATATATTGCCATGTTTTAAAAGTGCCCCTTGTTATCATCCCAGCAAAATCCCTGTTTTCCTCCCCACACTGTTCTGACATGTGAAACTCATGCTCTTGCTTTTTAAAGTGAGTGAAATGAATATGAAAGGAATGTATATTCTGTCACTTTGAGGTTTAGGGCTCTCTGTAAATTCATTGGATCTGTTCCATTAGAATATTTTTAAAAATATTTAATTCATTGTCTTTAACTTATCTTGGTGAGAGAGGTCTGCAGTTTCTTTGTGTTATAAGGAGCTTGTCTTCCACTGTAACTATTTCTGGTCAGTTTTGCTTTGATTTGAGTTAATATTAGTGGCTATACTTCAAGTTAGGAATTGTTATGTCTTTGCTGAAGTGATTATCTTATATAGCACTTGCCGTAAAATGTCTATTTTGTCAAATATTAATAATGCTTTACCAACCTTCTTTTGATTAAAATAATTATTTTATCATTTACCCCTAGTTTTCTGCATCCTTCCATTTTTTGTTTGTTTTATAAACAATAGATAAGTGGACTTAAGGTCCAGTCACACAGTGTTTGCCTTTTAACTGCACCCTATGTTTGGCTGTTTTATATGTCCTTGATGTCATATCTTTTGTATTATGTGAAGACTTTTGATATTTGTTTCATTTTTTCCCCTCTACTAGTCTACAAGTATTTACCTCTATTGCTATATCAGTATATACCTATATATTTTTTAGCATGCATTCTCATCAATCTTAATTTTTGACCTTTATTTTTTACCTCCTTGTTAATTACTAGTATTACAATTCTAAATAAGTTTAATTTTTTTCTTATTTCTTGGAGTATAAAGAAAAAACGTTTTATGCTGTAGTATTCATCTTGATGTTTACTTATATCTTCCATTTTCAGAAATCTCAATTCTTTTTTGTATATCCTTAATTTTCCATCTATATTTCTTTTAGAGGTTCATTGTTCAAGGGGTCTCTGCATTTTTTAAAAAGGTTTTTATTTTGTTTTCATTCTTAAAAGATGATTTTTTTTAATAAAAGATGATTTTCAGAAGAAAAGATGAAATTAGTGTTCATTAAACCATTATAATAGTGCCAACAAACAAACTTTATTATGTCTTTGGAACAGAATATTATTCAGTAATAAAATAGTTTTTAGTGCAAGTGACAACATGAAGAAATTGAAAAATAATTTATGGAAAATGAGATACCAGACAAATAAGAATTCATAGACTATGTTATTTACATAAAATTTCAGAATGCAGAATAATAATAACAAGCCAACAGATATTTGGGGAGAGAGATAGAAAGGGAGAGAAAAGGGAATGGTTTACAAAGGAGTGTGAGAAAATTTTGGAGATGCTGAAAATATTGATGACTTAGATTTCTTCTCTGCATACATAACAGATTTATTGTACATCATTGATACTTTAAAGCTTTTAAAAACTCATTACATGAAAAAGCACGTAAAATTATTATTTGTTATAACAACCTACAGAAGATGTTTTGTATTGTTTTGTTTTGCTGTCACAGCTTAATTTTGAAGAAGGGTGGAGAACAGTTTTCCTTATCTTCAAATTCATAGCTTGCACAGGCAACTGAAATGTTATACATGCGTTTAGATACAATGAATACTACGTGTGTAGATAGGTAAGTTTACTGCTCATTTCTATATTGAATGTTTGCTGCTTTTGCTCATTGTACTTTAAGAACTTTTAAAACTTTTATTAGTACACGTGCAGTACCTGGTGACTACACTGATCATGATGAGTTGGTACATGCACTTAACACAGCTTAATTCTTTCTACATCCACCTCTCCTCCCAACTATCTTTTGGTTCCCTTCCCATTTGCAAAACATCTGTCTCATTTCCTGTCGTCTGTCTTTTAATTTGCTCTTTATTTTATGTTTTTGGTTTTTCATAAAAGAGAAAACGTGATATTGAAATATCTGATTAGTTACTCTTAACATAGTCTCAGTGTGTATCCATTTTCCTACATATGGCTCAATTTTAGCTTTCTTTATAGTAAAGTAGTACTTGAATGTAAATGCTACATTTTCTTTACCCATCCATTGATGGACATAAGAACTGCTTCCAGGATTTAGTTTTTAGGTGTTGTGCTGCTATAAAATAAAGAAATGCATGCATCATCAATATGATGTTTTTAAGTCTTTTGGGACGATAGCTAGAGGGATATAGCTGGGTGGCATGCAGTTTCTAGTGTTAGCATTTTGAGGACTCTCTGTACTGAGTTCCATAATGATTGTGCTATCTCACATTCCCACCAACATTTTCGAGCTTCTTTCCCCTTAAAGGGTTGGTTCCCCTGACCACCCCCCCCACACACACACACACAGCCTCTTGGCCTTTTGTCATTTGGTTTTTTTTTTTTTTTTTTTTTTGTATTAAAAAGACACAAAAAAGAAAATCAGAAAAGCAACACAGACAAACAACAAGAAACCAAATACAGTAACAGTATAGGTTTACAAGACAAGATGATAGGAATTTGACAATGGTTGTAATATTGTATATTGTTACCTTAAAGAGGGTTGCTTAAATTAACAGACACAGATGTGTAAAGTTGATCTAAACTTACAAGTATTAATTTTTCTTTTCCAATAACTAATACAATTAGTAGTATAGTCAGTTTAGCTGCTATATGTGTGTGTATACACATATGTATATAAATTTATGTCTTTTTCTGTTTCTTCTTTCCTCCTTTCCCTTATTCTAATTATTTGTCCTCTTTGAACAGTTTCTTACCATTACACGATATTCATTGTAGATTTTAGAACATACATGATTTATCATTTGATTTCTTGATAACCATTCTTTCTGCAGTAAGATGGAATTTCAGCGTTGTTTTAATTTGCATTTCTCAAATTGTGAGAGATGTTGAACAGTTTTTCATGGGCTTGTTGGCCACTTATATATCTTCTGAGAAGTTTTTGTTACCCAATTTTTGATGGGGTATTTTATTGCAAAGGTCTAATTTTTTTTTTTTAATTCATTGTATACAGGTTGTCTCTTCACTCTTTTGGTTGTTTACTTAGCTGTGCAGAAGCTTTTAAATTCAATATAATTCCATTAGTTGAGTCTTGATACTATTTCTTGGGCATTTGGGGTTCTTGTCAGAAAGTCCTTGTTTAGGGGCTGGGGATTTAGCTCAACGGCATAAGCACCTGCCTTGCAAGCAGGCAGTTGTGAGTTCGATCCCTGGTACCGATAAAAACGAAAAAGACAAAAAAAAGAAAAACAGAAAGTCTTTGTTTAACTAAATTTAAAAAAAAAAAAAAAAGAACCACATGTGGAGTAGATCACGAGACAGAGTCCACCAAGGTGCTATTTATAGGAAATATAATTAACATGAAAAGGAGTACCTGGACTGAAAATCAAATATGAGAAAACAATGCTCTGTGTGACAGAGAACCAGAAGTAATAGGGACAACTAGACCGTATTTGTGGATAGGTTGGAAAGATAGGCTTTAATAGGTAAAAGAATACAATTAGAGATCAAGTCCAGGAGAGAGACGGTTCAGAATCACTTAGGTAAATAGCAGGTTGCCACCCCCCAATTTAAAACCAAGGGTCTTGGTCAGACCCAAAAATGCACAATGTACCCTGGGGAAGTGAAAAGAGAGGGAGAGCCTTAAAAAAGATGGCAGAAGATATTGTTAATAGTGTATCAGGATTTAAAACCCATATTACTTGCATCACTCTGCTTAGGTAGATTTTATTCTTTTTTGGATAGATTTTATTCTGTCCCAGTTTGTCTACTTGCATTAGATTTGAGGGCACAGACAGCTATCCCAAAAACATCAGGATGTAGCACAGTAATCATCTTTAATTTCCTATTATCTTAATCTGGAGCCCTATATGACTTATACTATTTTATCATGACTGATCTTAGTTAAATCTGGTTTGTTTGATTGCTGTTTGGTATTGACAGATTTTATTCAAAACTGATATGATTGATAGTATCAAGTCTGAGAGTATAGGCAACTACACTGAAGATGACAAGACTCTACGATACACATTCTAGTTTGATAACTGCCTGCTTTTGAAATTTTATACTATATACAAAGTCGTGTTTATATTAATACTGTTATGTACTGATATATTCAGTTATACTATATCTGATGATATAGCCAAGTCTATTGAAGATAACAAGAGACAACACAGGAGCTATGGTAGAACTCCTTGTACAATGTCTTTTTCGTTTCATGTGTTTATAGGAATATGTTTTGTTTTGTCTTGCTTTGTTTTGTTTCTCCCTCTAATATAGAAAGGATAGAAATACATGTTAAGACTCATGCATGTGTAGAATCTATAAACAGTTTATGAGAATTGATCTTATGACACAAGATGAAATGAACAGATACTTTGAAGAAAAAGAGACACTAAAGTACCCAGTGCTGATCCTGGAGTGTCAATGTGTCACTCAGCAATAGTATTATTCTTTGTTCAGAGTGATATTAGACTGCTTGGGTTTGTTCAATCTCAACATAATTGAAAATATGGATAACTGCATGTATGTTTAAGTGTATAGGATTGATAACCCTATTTCTAAGTTTTTGTTGGATAGTTGAACAGAACTGGTTGCAGTCTCACTGTTTGAATCCCTACTTTATATGCTCCACTTTAGTATCTTGAATAACTATTTGTAAGAGAAAAATCTGTAATCATCAACTAGTGATTTCTTACTGTTTGTTTCTTTGAAAATATGTATTTTTTCTACCCATTTTCTGTTTTGTTTAGTCTTTCTTCAAATAAAATTAAAAAAAGAAGACACTACAGTACCCAGCTGATCCCGTAGTGTCATGATGTGAAATCCAACAGTACAATTATTCTTTGTTCAGAATGATTTTAGCCTGCTTTATTTTGTTTATTCTCAACACAAAGGAAGATACGGATAACTGCATGTATGTTGAAATGTATACGATTAACAACCATCTTACTAAGTTTTTGTTGGATACTTGAACAGAACTATTTGCAGTCTCGCTGTTTGAATTCCCACTTTATATGTTCCACTTTTGTATCTTGAACAACTATTTGTAAAAGGATAGTATGTAAACATTAACTAGTGATTCTTAACTGTTTATTTTTTCTCTGACCGTATATATTATTTCTACCCATTTTCTGTTTTGTTTCTTTACATAAAATTTTTTTTAAAAAGCAAAAAAAAAGTCCTTGTTTATGACTGTGTATTCAAGAATTTTACCTATTTTATCTTCAAGCAGGTTGTGTTTCTTTTTTGATATTTAGATTTTTGATCCATTTTGATTTTAGTTTAGTACATGCTGAGAGATGTGGGTTTTTGCATTTTCTCAATGCCATTTATTAAGCTATCTTGCTCCAGTGTATGTTTTTTGTCCTGTTGTCAGGGTCACAAAGTTGAATTACCTGGAGTTGTTTGTATATCCTCTGTTGTTTCACTGATCACATGTCCGTTTTTGTGCTATTACCATGTTTTTATCATGGTAGCTTTGTGATGCAACTCAAAATCTGGGATTGTGATTCCACCGGCTTTGCTCTTGTTGCCCAGGATTTCATTTTGCTACTTCAGATCTCTTCTGGTTTCATATAAATTTTTGTTTTGTATAGCTCTGTGAGGAACGCTGTTGGTATTTAATTGGGAGCTTGTTAAATCTGTGTATTAGTTTTGAAAGTATGGCTGTTTTGACAATATTGTTTCTGCCTGTCCAGGAATAGGGGATATTTTTACATTTCTTGAAGATCTTTTTTCAGAGTACTGTAGTTTTTTCATTATAGAAGTCTTTCACTTCCTTTGTTAGGTTAACTCCTAAGTATTATATTTTTCTTGAATCTATTGTAAGTGGTAGGGTTTTTCTAATTTCTTTCTTAGTAGGTTCATTGTAGATGGACAGGAATGCTGCATTATTGCTTTTTCTGTTCTGGTGCATTGCTGAATTAATTTTTGGGTCTTCTGCAAAGACTGATAATTTTACTTCTTTTCCTATATATTCCTTTTATTTCTTTCTCCTGCCTGATTGCTCTGGTTAACAATTCAAGTACTAATGTTTTGTTTTGGTTTTTTTAATTTTATTTAAGGAGAAAAAGAAAAAAAAAACAAAAAGGTTACAAGTTATACAGAATTTCAAAAAAATAAACAGTAAAAAATCCTATTGTCATCTTAGAAATAGTTGTTCAAGTTACAAAATTAAAGCATATAAAGTGAACATTCAAACAGTGAGACTGCAAACAGTTCTGTTCAATGATCCAGCAAAAACTCAGTAGTATGGTTCTTATATGCTTAAATAAACATGCAGTTATATCCTTTAGAGCACTTTTCTTTTCCTCTCTTTTTTACAATGACAATCACACATTTTGGGTTTTATTATTCCCACAGTTATTACTTCTTTTTGAAGAGAATAAAACCAAATGTGACAATAAAACAGAGTCAGTCAAATCAAAAGGATGGACATAGTACATAATGTAAAAACAGAATACAAGGTGATCAACAATGGTTACCATAATGCCTCTTGCTATCTTAAAAGGAATTGCCTATATCATCAATTACAATAAAATTGAACAAAACAGTAACGAACAAAGCCAATAAAACCAAAACATTGGAGACATTACAGGACTTCAAAAGGAGATAATAGTCGAACCAGAATGGGTATCATAG